TACCACTACTAATTTCAAAAATCCCGCATTTTATACAACCTCTCTAATCATAGGTAGGTTCAACCTGTCTCATGGTTTCTGTTACCTAAATCTGCTTAGGATATTTGAATAGACCGTTTCCAAGGCAAGTTCAAACCTTTTTCATTAGTTTCCTTTTTAAGTGCCAAGAAATTAGCTGCTTAATTTTCTAATTACTTTGACTTAAGTTAAGATAAACTCGAAAAAGGTAGACGCATAATAATAAATGCACAACCCAAACGAATGGTTTGGTTGTGTTTGGCTTTAGCAGGTTTGTACAGTACCCAAGCATGTGCTTCGTTTTGACTAACTTCTATGGGGACAAAAACAACATCTCTGGCGCATTTAAGTGTCTTGCGATTGGGTGGATAAAGAACTACGTGCCACACGATGCAAACAAAATGTCAACAACGAGTTTCTTAAAAGTTAAATATAAATTCTCTCGTGTTAGTTTTTGTTATGTCACGAGACTATAAGATACAAAAATGTAAGAGGTTAAACTTTCTTTTGGTTAAGTAATTCCATCTTTTTTCATGTGTTTGTTTTTCATAACATTTGAAAGAATCAGAGACAAAATAGAAGAGAATATGGTCTTGTCGTTTTGTAAAATCAAAGTTGTTTCTTCTAAGACCATGATAGAGAAAGAGATTCGAAACAAATTTTGTGAGATATATATTGGAGCCGTTGAACTTTTTATAACATTATGATTGGTTTGGTAAAATGTTTGGTAGAACTGGCACTCTGTTATATGACCAAAATACACGTTGTGGTGGAGGAAAAATAGGAGCATCCACATGGAAATTGCATATGTCATCTTCATGTATAGTTCACAAATTTAAAAGGAATGTTATTTAAACTTATTATGATATATTTTTACAGTGAATTTTGTATGTAAAGTGTTTTTTAAGAATAAAATGGTTATTAAATTAGAAATTTAAAATAGTTAAATATTTTGATAGTTAATTTCATTAATATTATCATTATAATTAATTTGTTTGCTTGCTTTCTAAAGAAACCGCGTTATGAAACTCACGGTTGAGAACATTTATTATGTGCAGAAGAAGTTGAAGAGAAACAAAGTGTAGTTTACAAATTTGATCTCCAGCTGCTTTTTTCAATAAAAGGAAATTTGTTTCAACGAGTTAACAGGTAATTAGGTATAAAATAGTTGTCAAATTCGTCTTCACTCTATATATATGGATGTAAACAATTGGTGAGGAATGAAAAGTAGATATTGCATTAGGTCCAAGAAAAGAATTTCGTCTTCAAGAACGTACACGACCAGTCAACAAATTATTTCGACTTAATTTGAAACTTATTTTATGAAAAATTTCAATATAAATATCCAAAATCTAAGAATTATTATTTATTTTATGTTACATTTAACTAAATTATCGTCGATTTCGATATTATTATTAAATATGATTCAACATATATAAAAAAAATATAATACTGTTTTAGAAAATTTAAGATATTAGATTTAGAAGTATCTGATCTTAATATTACTTCAATTTTCTATTTGTATGAGTTTTTAATTTAAATTACAAGGAAACTTAAACAATTAAAAGCGAATTATTTTAATCAGTGGTTTATTCTAATTCCAAAACTAATTATAAGAGCTTTGCATTGTCCTGGTTGAATAAATATTTAATTTAAAAATTTTTGTGTAATTATTAAGTGTTAGCAGTAAAATGTATTACAATAAACAAAACAATTAGTCTGATTTTTTATTTATTTATCAATTTTATCAAATGAATTAAAATGGATACAACCAATAGGTACATAATTAGTTAATGTAATTAATAATATTGATATCGAGTATATATATATATATATATATATATATATATATATATATATATATATATATATATATATATATATATATATGCAGCGACTAATAGTCTAATATCATCCATTGTGTGAAAGATAGTATGTTCTATAAAATAATTTTTTTTTTACAAAAATAAATATTTAACTTTTTTTACAATAATGATAAATAATTTCTCAAAAGATTTTTAACTAAGTCTAAATTGATATATGACCGATTTTATTTCGAAAATCTAATAATTTTTTTCTTTAAATAAAACTTAATATATGTTTTTGAAAAAATAGTGTACTTCGTCATTTTCATTATAATGATTCTTTTAAATGTTTTTGTTTTAGTTAATATATGTTGTCATAATAATCAAGTATTTTCAATAACATAACAAGGTATGTTGTCAGAATATATAATAAAAAAATTAATGCATATTATTCTTCAACATTTTAAATTCTAAACTATATATTTTAATTTAACAAACACGTAGAGAGTTAAACTAAAAATTTTAATATAGTAAGTATCTTAATTGAAAAAAAAAATACTGGGTACTCAAAATAAAAATCAGTAATTTTTTTATTGATGAGGTGAAACTTATTGATTTTATTTTTTTCAAGATTATAAAGGTGAGTCCGTGACTCATTTTAGTTCTTCTATTCATTGAATGTAAGACTGAAAATATTCCATATTTATAATGGACGGAATAATGATCAATTTTTTTATTAGGGTTGAAGAAGTCTGCTATACTTTTCTTGACAGGAATATAAAAAAAAAAATGTTGTATATATGTTAACCATTTTCTGTAAGAAAACTCAACAGCGACAAACAATGACTAAAAAGGATTCACCGAATTGCTGTGTGCTCCCATGAAAGACAAAAACATCATCTGTAAAGACGATGATTGTGGGGAAAAAAAAAATCTAACAATGCATTTCAATGTTTGTAGAGATTTGTAGAAAACAAAATTCAGGAGCAGAAACGTTGTCGAGGATGGCATATTCATTGAGCAATATGACTCTAGCAAGACGACAAACATATAAAAGAAAAGACAATTAACACACATGGATATGGTAGATGTGCATGTATGTGTGTTAAGGTTAGGACTCAACACAGAGAGAAAAGACACAGTTGTTCATTTTAATACTAGTTCAATGGAGAAATTCCCATGTTCTGTTCTTTCCCCAAATAATTTATAGTTTAAATTCAGTGGATTTTATTTGTTGGCATGTGAAGCATTGTGAGGAGAACAAGAGTTCATAGATGACACAAACATGATGGGTGTCAGAAACTTATTAAGTTGAGTGCAACAAACCATGGGAGGTTTAGATTATTTGATGAAACAACCACAGAGAGAAGAAATATATACTAAGAATACAAATAATTAATCAGACAAACACTACTTTTGCTCTCATCACCCATGTTATGTTCAGGGACCCATTTCACGCGTATGCATGGGTCGGTCCAAACTAGTTTTTATATATTTCACTTTATTGACCTTTTGTGCAAATCAATTCCACCATAGCTGTAAACCAAAACTAAAGCTTCTCTTCAACAAAAATGAAAGAAAAGATAGGGATATTTACAAAGCTCATGATCTTTTAATCTTTGACATATATGCTACTTGTTTTTTGTCTCCCTTCTATTTTTTTTGCCTGTCTTTTTTTTATTATTATTATTTTCTTTGTCTTTTCTACTATTGTTTTTCTATTAGCTTAGAAAGAAACAAAAAGCAAAACTTTACCAAAAACTAGAAATTAGAAATATAGTTTTACCATTTATTCATTAGATTTGTAAGCCAACATAAAACTGAGCTTAAAAGATTCTTTGTGAAGAAAATAGCAACATGAAATTGATCATAATCTCAAATACTGGTTACACGTGGCACACAGGCATGAGAAGATCACCCTCTGCACAATAGACACTACCCCCCCATTGTTTTATTCAAATTTATCATTTTAGTTCATTGAACCACCCAATTTTGTCGTCGTTTAAAACACATAAAAGGGGATTTCTTCTTTATCTCGTGACACATAAAATTGTTGATTCGTAGTAATTACTTTAAAAATCATATTTATTATAATTTATAATTAATTCACAGTGATCATCATAAAATTAAAATTTCTTTTTCTATAGTAAACTTCCACTATTTTGTTGAATGAAAACTTAACTTGTCCCAAATATCAATACTTTGTCTCAGTGACTAGTGTTAGAGTTTCTGCATTCATTTCATATATCATTCTTCTTCTTTTTGTTTTCTCCCTTTCTTTGCTTACAACCACTGTACATGATGAATAGGAAGGAGATTTGATACGTTATATTCGGGTAAGAATTTATCTTAAACCGATATGTCCCAGCTTGGAATTGACCCCATTATAAAATATGCAACGACAATATCGTATCATATTGATTCAGGAATGGATATGCAGTGGTAAACAATGTTTATCCATGTTTTCTCTGTAGCACTACCGATCACAACAACAAATAATTGCAACACATGATCGATTGATCATTTTCTTGGTGGCCAGATTGCCGAGACCGAGGTCTAAAATTTGTTCTCTCCCCAGATTATCTGCTAAAATAGACGCAGAAAAAGGCAATTGGTTCTTTATTTATATTTTAGAATGATATGTTCAAAGATTTAGTAGTTCAAACTTCTCACAAGAGGGGACTAAAAACTAGTCATTATCTACAAATTGCTCCTACTAAGGTCAGTTTTCACATGAGCAGAATCTGTGGACAGTGATCTTGAATATTAGATTTTTCTGACATCAAATAGGATTGCAAAGCATACATTAACAAATATATAATTCTGCACCCAATGGACACATATTTTGAAACAATGGTACATATACTAGAGTGAGCAACATGTGAATCGTTTTAGGAAACACTTATGCAATAATCATGACTTGCAAATTGCAATACAGCCAAGTTATAGCTGATAGATAGGTAAAGAAAAAGAAAGTAAGACCTCAAAATCCCCTTGTGGGACCCTCTTTGCTTAAATTGGTGCAAATTGTTTAGAGAAAGTGGCACACATAGCACAAGCCCAACTACAAAAACCCACCCCCTCTTCCTTCTCCTCCCCCCATTTTGTTCCACAACTCTCTATCACTCAAAATTTTCACTAACACTTTCTGAACAGAATTCATTTCTTTTCCCTAACATGGTCAGATCACAACAGCGATACCGAGGTGTCCGACAAAGGCATTGGGGTTCTTGGGTCTCCGAAATTCGACACCCCATATTGTAAGTGCCCCTTTTTGTTTTCATTCCCATGCACATTTCACTTCCTTCTAGAATAAAATAACCATGGTCCAGCACCAAGAACTAGTTTTATACAACATGATAAATCAACGTTCCAATATCTGTCAAAAGAATGTATATACTTAGTATCTGAGTGTATCGAACATGATTGATTTGAACTTGTTTATTATGTACAGGAAAACTAGGATATGGCTGGGAACTTTTGAAACGGCTGAGGATGCAGCTAGAGCCTATGATGAAGCAGCAAGACTAATGTGTGGCACAAGGGCTAGAACAAACTTCCCTTACAACCCCAATGCACCTCAGTCATCATCTTCGAAACTTCTCTCAGCAACTTTAACTGCAAAACTGCATAAGTGCTACATGGCTTCTTTGCAAATGACAAGACCATCACTACCAGAGCCTCAGAGAGTGGCTTCACCAGATGTCTTCACCTCCACGAGTAACTTCTCCATGAATAGTTATGAAACTAAAACAATGTTGCCACAAAAGAGACAAAAGGAAGAGCATGAAGTAGAGGAGAATTGGGTTTTCAAGAAGGTTAAGGTGGAAAGGGCTCAACAGTTCAAGCCTCTTGAAGAAGACCACATTGAGCAAATGATAGAGGAGTTGCTCTGTGATTCCCCATCACAGGCTCTTTTAATTCATAATACTTATTGAGCAAGCTCTTTTATTTTGTTGTTGGTTCACATTCTTATTCTGCTAATTTAACTAATTCCCTTGGACAATTTCAGTATTACTATTATTATTATTATCAAGTGCTTTAGGTTGTAGTAGACAAGCCTAGAATATATCTTCCAAGTCACTCATTGGATGATGTTGTATGTATAACCAGCCAACCATGTTGACATTGTCCCTTTGTTTTGTTCTCAATCTCAATTTGCATTTCTAGTTGCTGAATCAGTCTCTTGTCTGAAATGTAAGAGGGTTTGGCGACCAGACATGATTGTTTCACAGTCCAAACAACCATTACCCAATTCAAAATAGCATTACATAGTATTAGTGTTATGTAATATTATTTTGGGACGTGTAATAACTATTTGTGTTGTCAAACTCACCTTTGGTCAAAGACACGACTTTTTAGACAAATTGGCTAGAGCAATCCTTTACTTAAAACAGTGTAGAGTTTTATGCACTGACATTGCTCTTAATTCTGACACATATTTGTAAAACAAAATGTTCCTCTGAATTTAATTAATTAAAACTAACAATTTTGTCCTTAATCAATAAAAATAGCAGATATCACATTCCAGAGTCCCTTTCATCAAATCTTTTGTGTTTCTGAAGTCCATGTTTGGAAACCAATCATACTGCAATTTTAGTTTTTACTCTATGCAGAATGTAGAGAAATAAGAATTACTCTTTGACTATTGCAATAACTGGCACTCGTGGAGAAACCTAGTTACATGGGATTCTAACCTATTCCCAGTTTCACGACAAGCAAAACCTGAAAAAAATTATTGTAAACTAATAAAGAATTAAAACTAAATGAACTAAAACAGTTTATACTGCAAGTGTGTATGGATAATTTTCTCAATTAAATTAGTTGAACAAATAGTTAGTGTTTTGGGATTTTATAAACTTTATGTGATTGAACATGTTTAAATGATTAGGTTAATTAAGTTTTTATTAAATAACATTAAAAAGGCTATAAACTACTCTTTTATTTCCAAATAATTGTGTTCACAAATATTTGGCATTTTTCTTTCAATTTTCAATTCGGCATTTATAAGCCATCTGTTGTTTAGGTTCACATAATCAAATTATATTGACTAAATCCACCTCATAACTGATTGAAAATATATGCACTCGTTTAGTTGACCATGTAAAATCACATAAGTTTTTTATTATTATTAAAGAGTTGAAGGTATTTTTAATTGTTTCACCACTATACACTAGAGGTGTATAATCAGGTTTAATACCCATTATCATCTTTACCCTCGTATGTAAGATAAAGTTATGAACTAAATAATCAATCTTCTATTACAAGATGAATATAATTTTTCCTAGTCCATGCAGGATTCAAACCCCATATATGGGAAAAAATAAAATCAAAGGACAATCTTTAGATTTTTTATGTTTGAGTTCGATCTAAATCACTTTATAAAATAGTAAGAAAATCAGGTTAACACCTTAGGTAATCCAAGTGCGAAACAGTATATTGAGAGATTCACATTTGAGGGAAAGATTGTTGGGAATCCAAGTATGAGTTAAATTCCACATTGAATAAAAATGAGAAAGTTATAATGTCTTAAGGTTTTAGATTGAGAGTGGTATTAATCCCTTATGTGGATTTGACTCATATCTCATTAGTGTGTTTCTTCCATGTGAATCCCTTCGAAATACCTAACTAGTGGTACAAGAGCCATGCCAGTAACTAAAAGTCTCATAATGGTACATATTACCAAAATACTGTATATAAAAATGGGTATAATCTTTATTTTTATAATCTGATTTTACAAAATCCAGTTAGATCCAAATCAATTGGTACGAATATGCAAAAGATAGGATATTTATTGTTTTCCATGTGAAACAGCATAGTTTTGACCTGCTGTAATGTATGATTCCTGTTGGATGGAATTTGGAAAAAAATAGAACATCTTTTTACTTTGTTGCCTTTAGAAAGAATGGACACTGAAAAAGATTTAGTGGATGTTCTAATGATTTGTGCAAGGCCCCATATGTGTCTCAAAGGGGCTTTCAAGGTTATTTTTTGAAGCTCCTTTAATCTTGTTTTTATTTTCAGAAACTCAGTGCATCGTCATGAAAAATTTTCGTGGTCCTGCGGAGTTTGCCGTATCACATATCAATTAATATGATTAGATTCTAAATTTCCCATGTTTCATAGAGAGATTGAAATGTAAAAGCAGAGTTCTCTGTTTCCTGAGAAAGAGTGTTTAAAAATCCTTTTGTTAAAAGCTTAAAAGTCTTAAATTTTATCTTCCTTATGATTAAAAGCTTAAAAGTCTTTGGAGAATCAAAGAACATAACTGAGCTTCAGTTGTTGTTGTTGTTGTGTTGCTGCAGTTAAACGAATTCAGTATCCGAACAAGATTCTTTTTGAAAGTGATTAAACAAAGACATGAAAATGATAGTGGTATCAAAGTCACTGAATCTATTTAGTAATCCTGAAAGGGAGACATTTCCATGAATTTGTACACTGATGGGGGATTTTACATTTATGCATTTCAATTTGGGAATACGTCATTTTCTTGCCAAATCTCCTGCAAATTTTATCAGCTTTTAGCTGTGTAAGATTTGTTAGATATCCTCATGCTAGCTAAAGCTTAATCAGCTTTAGATCTTATTTAGTTTAGTTGAACACAATTATTAGGCAATTCTAGAGCTTTCACAAGTGCAACTCTAATCTTTGCAATAATTATGCTTTAATGTTGTTGCACACAAAGCTGTTCTGCGGTGTAGAGCAACCAACAAACAAAAACAAAAATATAAAGTGATTATGATTATACTTCTATCCAAATTTGACTAATAGTTAGCTGTGGCCATGATCTCTAATTTTTGTTTCTCACCATGCTTTACTTTTTTATTGGTATCTGGTAAGAATTTTTTCCAACGTATAAAAATGGATCAAATTACACAATCAGGTTGGCCAACTGAGATACAGATTACAAAACTATGATGAAGTGAAGATTTATAGCAATGAGTTTAAATTTCAGATTTATTTAGTATTCCTATATTCAGGTCTCACAGAGTTGAAGATCACTTCAGGATAAATATATGGGGGGTTTGTGAACTTTGGTGTCCCATATCTATCACTCAAACTTCATGATCATTCACCTGTTTTGGCATTGATTTTGTTCCCCACAACCATCGAATAATAAAGTTGTTTAGCCTCATTATTTTGTTTTACTTTTGAATGAAAAAAGTTGGTTTAATCATGTGGTATATATCTTAGTGAGTTTTCATCATTAGCAATTTGAATCTTGTGACAAGGAGAGGCACTTTTAAGGTTCATGTGACCCTCCACTCCACATTCCTCATTTTACCGTACACATGCTAGTCCAACAATTACTAAACTGGGGTCAAAGTTATTCTCCATCAGATAGAAATAGGAAGAACCAAATGGTAAAATGCTTTGCCTTCATTGTTGGGTTATTGGGCTCCCTTCCTATGTGGAGAATAGGCCCAAATAGTGTGGTCCATTATGTCTCATTTGGGTAAAATGAGATGGGTCAGATTAGTAGAGGACAAGAGAGTCATTTGAAAAAAGACAAAAAGTCTAGTGAGAGAAAAAGAAAGAGAGAAAGTCATCTCCGCATAACCCTAAATCTGCACTGGTGTTTTCGTCGCTGTGAAGTCGTTCACCGTTGGATCGAGCTGATTTTTGGATAGTAGGTTCCAGACATATGGTTCTTCATTCTGACCGTTCGGATCGTCAATCGAAGGTCTAGATTGGGAGAAATTGGTCCCGCACTAGCAGCCCTGTTTTGGAGATTTTTCATCTTCTTTGTTTCTCTTTTGTAAGCATTTGTGCTTAGTTAATTCTGCTTATTGAAAATACCTTTTGGTATTATTATTGGAGACTCTTGTGTACCCCATTATTGATCATAGTGGATTTTTCTTTGGTCCGGACGACTCGTGGTTTTTACCCTTGCATTGAGGGGTTTTCCACGTTAAAATTGTTGGTGTCTCTTTGTGCTTTGGATTCTATTTGTTTGGTGCTCCTCGTCGATTCTCGCAAGAAGGGGATTGAATTTCCGTTGCATTATTACTCTTTGTCAAGTTGTTATATTTGTTTTTTGGCCTCTTTTTTTATACCATCGAGTGGTATCGGAGCTCTTAGGTTAAGGGACTGTTTAATTTGCGTGAATGATGGAGGCACATACAAAATTGATTCAGTTGAATGGAGAAAATTATCACTTATGGAAAGGCAAGATGAAGGATTTGTTATTTGTGAAAAATTTGCATCTTCCTGTTTTTGCTTCCAATAAGCCAGAATCCAAGTCAGATGAAGAATGGGATTTTGAACATCAACAGGTATGTGGATTTATCGGGCGGTTTGTTGATGATAATGTTTATAATTTTGTTGCTAATGAGACACATGCGAGAAGCCTATGGGATAAGCTTGAGTCCTTGTATGCTTCTAAGTCGGGGACTAATAAATTGTACTTGCTGAAAAATTTTGTGGAGTTGAAGTACAAGGAAGGAACTCATGTTTCAAATCACTTGAGTGAATTTCAAGGACGCTATGATCAATTAGGCTGGAGTGGGTATAAAATTTGATGATGATCTATTGGGCTTATTCCTATTAAACTCTTTACCGGATTCGTGGGAGACATTTCGGGTTTCCATGATAAGTGCTACCCCTAATGGTGATATTTCTTTGCAAATGGCAAAGAGTGGTGCTCTTAATGAGGAGATGAGAAGGAAGACACAGGGTACTTCATCTCATTCGAAGTGCTTATTACGAGAGAATAGGGGAGAAACCAAAAGAAAGAACAAAACGAGTGGTAGAGATAAAAGCGAGGAGCAAGTCCAAGTCTCGGTACAAGAATGTGGAGTGTCACTATTGTCACAAAACAGGACATATAAAGAAAAGCTGTTTTTGTGGAAGAAAGAGAGCAAAGACAAAAAGGGTAAGCAAAGAGAAAAAGATAATGATGATGGTGATCGTGTTACTACTACTACATGTGGTGACCTTGTTTGTCTTCGTGATTATGACACTATTAGTCTTGTATCCGATGAGAGCATGTGGATAATTGATAGTGGTGCTACACTGCATGTTACATCCAGGAAGGAGTTCTTCACATCTTATACACCTGGTGATTTTGGAGTATTGAAGATGGGTAATGATGGGGTGTCTAAAGTTGTTGGTGTTGGTGATGTTCACTTGCAAACCAACATGGGGATGCGATTGTTGCTTAGAGGAGTTAAACATGCTCCGGATGTTCGCTTTAACTTGATCTCTGTGCAGGTACTTGATGATGGTGGATATTATAACCATTTTGGTTCTGGAAAGTGGAAGCTCACCAAAGGTAACTTGATTGTGGCTAAAGGGGAGAAAAACTCTAAGCTTTACTTGGACAAAAGCTTTGGTTGCTAAAGATAGTGTGAATTCAGTGTATATGGAGTCATCTTTGTGGCACAGAAGGCTTGGGCACATCGGTGAAAAGGGGCTTAACTGCTTATTTAAAAAGGATGTTCTCTCGGGATTGAAGAATGTAGATTTGGAGAAATGTTCTCATTGCATGGCTGGTAAACAAACCAGAGTATCCTTCAAGAAGCATCCTCCCTCCAGGAAGTCGAGTTGCTTGAATTGGTGCATTCTGATGTTTGTGGCCCATTGAAGGTAAAGTCTTTTAGTGGTGCACTTTACTTTGTTACCTTTATTGATGATTGTTCCAGGAAGCTTTGGGTTTATGTACTACGAGAGAAAGGACCAAGTGTTGGACAAGTTTAAAGAATTCCATGTTTTGGTTGAGAGGCGATCAGGCAAGAAGCTGAAACGCATTCGTATCGACAATGGTGGTGAGTATTGTGGACCATTTGATGCTTATTGTAGACAATATGGTATTGCACATGAGAAGACTCCTCCTAAAACTCCTCAGCTGAATGGTTTAGCGGAGAGGATGAACAGGACATTGATTGAAAGAGTTAGGTGTATGCTTTCTGAAGCAAAATTGCCTAAGCATTTCTGGGGTGAGGCATTGTTTACAGCAGTGCATGTTATTAATCTAAGTCCTGCAGTTGCTTTGAACTCTGAGGTGCCAGACAAGATTTGGTTTGGCAAGAATGTTACTTATGATCATTTACGTGTCTTCGGTTGTAAAGCATTTGTTCATGTTCCGAAGGATGAAAGATCCAAGTTGGATATGAAGACAAGGCAATGCATCTTTATTGGTTTTGGTCAGGATGAATTTGGCTACAAGTTGTATGACCCCGTTGAAAAGAAAGTTGTTAGAAGTCGTGATGTGCAATTCATGGAAGATCAAACCATTGAAGATATTGATAAGGAGAAGAAGTCTACACCTAAAGGAAATGGTAATGTGGATGATGTTGATCCAATTCGGTTGTCTATTAATGATTTGGATATTGATGCTCATGATGATGAACAACATGGTGATACTGATAATCAACAGGTTGAAGATAGCTTGGATGTTCCTATTGATAATGTTGATGAAGAGGAACATGATGTATCACATGATGAGAGTCTTGGTGATATACCTGAGCTACCTGAAACTCAACCTAGAAGATCTGACAGGCCAAGACAACCTTCTAAGAAGTACTCTACCAATGAGTATGTGATGTTGACTGATGAAGGAGAACCTGAATGTTATGAGGAGGCCGTTGAAAGTGAAGAAAAGCAAAAGTGGTTGGATGCAATGCAGGATGAGATGAAATCGCTGCATGATAATCACACTTATGACTTGGTGAAGTTGCCTAAGGGTAAGAGAGCCTTAGAGAACAGGTGGATCTTCAGGGTGAAGCAAGAGAGCAATTCTACATCTACCAGATATAAAGCCAGATTAGTGGTGAAAGGCTTTAGACAAAGAAAGGGTGTTGACTTCAATGAGATTTTCTCACCTGTGGTGAGGATGACATCTATCCGAACTGTGTTAAGTTTAGTCTGCTACTCTTGATTTGGAAGTTGAGCGAGATGGATGTGAAGACAGACCTTCCTTCATGGTGATTTGGAGGAAGAGATTTACATGAAGCAACCGGATGGTTTTCTTGTTGAAGGCAAGGAAGACTATGTGTGTAGGCTACGAAAAAGCCTATATGGTTTGAAGCAAGCTCCAAGGCAGTGGTATAAGAAGTTTGAGTCTGTTATGTGTGAGCAAGGCTACAAGAAGACTACTTCTGACCATTGTGTTTTTGTCAGGAAATTTTCTGAGAATGATTTCATTATCCTGTTGTTATATGTTGATGACATGCTTATTGTTGGAAAAGATGTTTCCAAAATTGACAGGTTGAAGAAGCAACTGGGCAAGTCATTTGCCATGAAAGACATGGGAGCTGCTAAGAAGATTCTTGGTATAAGTATCACTCGTGATAGAAAAGAGAAGAAACTTTGGCTATCACAGGAGCACTACATTCGAAGGTGTTGCAAAGATTCCAAATGGAGAATGCTAAGGTTGTAAGTACTCCTCTTGCTACTCATTTTAAGTTGAGTGTTAAACAAAGTCCTTCAAATGAAGTTGAGAAGATAGCTATGAGAAAAGTTCCTTATGCTTCTGCGGTGGGTAGTTTGATGTATGCAATGGTATGTACAAGGCCTGATATTGCACACGCTGTTGGTACAGTTAGCAGATTTCTGTCAAATCCAGGTAGAGAGCATTGGAATGCTGTGAAATGGATTTTGAGGTATCTTCGTGGTACTAGAGGTTTGAGACTTTGTTTTGGAGGTGATAAGCCTACTTTGGTGGGTTACTCAGATTCAGATATGGCTGGAGACATTGATTCCAGAAAGTCCACTTCAGGCTATTTGATTCAGTTTGCAGGGGGAGCTTTGGCTTGGCAATCAAAGTTGCAAAAGTGTGTGGCGTTGTCTACTACTCGAGGCAGAATTCATTGCACTTACTCGAAGCATGCAAAGAGTTGTTATGGGTGAAGAAATTCTTGCAGGAGCTTGGTTTTGTGCAAGATAAATACTTGTTGTATTGTGACAGATCAAAGTACTATTCATCTTGGTAAGAATCCAACTTTTCATTCTAAATCCAAACATATTGATGTGAGGTATCATTGGATACGTGATGTTTTGGATGCTAAGTTGGTGGAACTAGCTAAAGTTCATACAGATGATAATGGTGCTGATATGATGACCAAGGCATTGCCAAGAGGAAAGTTTGAAGTTTGTTGTGAGATCGCCGGTTTGGCGGATATCTCCACATAGTCGTGAGGGGGAGATTTGTTGGGTTATTGGGCTCCCTTCCTATGTGGAGAATAGGCCCAAATAGTGTGGTCCATTATGTCTCATTTGGGTAAAATGAGATGGGTCAGATTAGTAGAGGACAAGAGAGTCATTTGAAAAAAGACAAAAAGTCTAGTGAGAGAAAAAGAAAGAGAGAAAGTCATCTCCGCATAACCCTAAATCTGCACTGGTGTTTTCGTCGCTGTGAAGTCGTTCACCGTTGGATCGAGCTGATTTTTGGATAGTAGGTTCCAGACATATGGTTCTTCATTCTGACCGTTCGGATCGTCAATCGAAGGTCTAGATTGGGAGAAATTGGTCCCGCACTAGCAGCCCTGTTTTGGAGATTTTTCATCTTCTTTGTTTCTCTTTTGTAAGCATTTGTGCTTAGTTAATTCTGCTTATTGAAAATACCTTTTGGTATTATTATTGGAGACTCTTGTGTACCCCATTATTGATCATAGTGGATTTTTCTTTGGTCTGGACGACTCGTGGTTTTTACCCTTGCATTGAGGGGTTTTCCACGTTAAAATTGTTGGTGTCTCTTTGTGCTTTGGATTCTATTTGTTTGGTGCTCCTCGCTGATTCTCGCAAGAAGGGGGATTGAATTTCCGCTGCATTATTACTCTTTGTCAAGTTGTTATATTTGTTTTTTGGCCTCTTTTTTTATACCATCATTCATGGCATAGGAATTCATGCTGATTAGTTTAGTTAATTACTAGTGCATGGGCTCATATGCTTGAATTGGACGCATTATGGCACTCGGAGACTTGTCATCATTATAGTTATTTTTGTGTTTATTTTATTCACTAATTGAAGTGCAACTTTTATGTCAGATACAGCTAACTATCTTTGTATAGATAAGTTATAGAGAGTGGTCTTGATTTCATGAATATATAGAATTCACCACCATGTTGGTCAGGTATTTTGGCTTGAAACTCATGGGAAGAAGACTAGACAGCAATACCAAGAGTCTTTGTTGAATCTTGAAGTCTGAGGGAATTATGGATGTCTGTTCACATGGGACCTAATCAGTTTTTTGGTTTCTGGTGGAACAAACCTAGTTAGATTTCTTTTTCTAGATTCATAGTTAATAACAACATAAAAAATCAATACAATACTTCTTGAGGATTCCATAGAGCTGGAAACAATGTCATTGTACAAAATTCCACTGTACGGCTTTCCATACAGTGGGAAATAAATAGTGTGCTTGATAAAACAAAGGTAAGTGAAGGAGTGAAAGGTGAGATGTTCTAAGAAAAAAAGGGGTCAAAATCAATCATGCTGCACCTAATCATGGTGTATACATAGAATCTGTAGTAGAAATATTGTGAGATAATCACACATACACTACCTTGTATCAATTATTAATTTTGCGAGTGCCTTTGATCAAGTGAGTCACGCATAAATCCAAAAGGGATAAGCCTTTTTTGTCAGAAGAAAAAGAAGAAAAAGGAAAAGGTTGGTTGCTTACTCTGCTGAAAAGCCAAAGCACTTTCTACAAACAATTTTAGAGCATGACAAGCTTTTCTTCAGTTGGAGTGGAAGATGATGTTTGAGGATCAGCAATACAAGACATGTCACAAATTTCTGATACCTGTCCCTCCCTTTCCTTTCACAAGGTCAAGTGCATGTGCAGTGCACACACCTTCATCCACATGCTCCTCAAACCACCGTCTCACCAAACAGACAACATCATTTGGGTTTCATGTTCTATAAAAATATATATATAAACATATTTTATGAAGAAGTATTAAACTCCTATGAATAATTCAAATCATGTTATCTTCCTAACAAATGGAATTTAACATTTGTTTTTCCTATAGGATGTCCTTCTAATAAAACTCTAACATCAAATTTTATAATTCCTATATTCTTACCCCTCCCAAGGGAAAAAACAAACTTTCTGCTTCCTAATTTTTCTTTTCTTAGACCTTATATCGAATTCAACTCTGGATAAATGACATAATTTTACGTCTACTTAAGTTAATTAATATTTTTAAAACTGTAACTCTGTAAAATGTGAACTTGATTTTCTGTTTATTTCTCTATTTTATAATTAATAAAAAATAAAAATGTCGTAAAAAAAAAAAAACTTTCTTTCATCAAACTACTCTCAGTTTTTATTTATTTTTCACTATTTCACTTTCTTCTTTTTCTTTTCACTTGTTGCTTGTTCTATTTATTTAATCAGAAAAAGTATGGAATACTTCATGATTATAAATGTAAAAATATTAATGATTAGTTTTATAATATAGAGCTCTGAATAGTGGAATATAATTAAACACATACTATGATGTGAATGTGAATTTGAGGAAAACCTAAAGAAACTTTTGAGCCACCCGTGTAAATTAATAGCTATGCAAACTGCGGGGGTTTGCATTGAAGACATTTTAAATAATTATTGAGGAATTATTTAGTGAGTGTAAATGAGTATTCGAGTAAAATGTATAGGTAGTTATCATTATTAAGCAACCAGTTAATTATAGCTATAGATAGGGAAAATCATAATGACTCATTATTTTATGTGTGGCCATCAAATACTTCTCTAACTCTTTAAAATATTCTTCAAATTTTAACTAGATCCTTGCATTTGTATTTATTTTGAAATTGGATTCTTTCGCAGTTTAATCGTTGTAAAAATTAGATCAAATGTTCAAGTTAAATAGATCTGCATAAAGCTAAAGATGTTGGTTAAAAGAATAATTAAGAATATTGATGTTGAAGTGATAATACTTAGTGCAAATATTACAATACTAGACTCAGATACTAAATAGATTTATTTGATTTTTTTTGTAATGGTAGAAGAATCAGATTAAAAATTAAGAAAACAATTTAAAAACCTAACTGAATAATTTAGGATCTATGGGGTGACTTAACCAATATAGAACATTTGAAGAAAAACATGTTATTGATCGACACATGCTATCTAATGATTTTTAGATGCGTAGAAAAAATATAATGAAGGATGAACATTTTTATTAGCAGAATAGGATTGCTTAGTTTTCATAAGAGTATGATAACCTTATTTATAAGAAAATAAATAAATAAATAAATAAATAAATATATATATATATATATATATATATATATATATATATATATATATATATATATATATATATATATATATATAACATTGCTGGCATGGCCAGTTTCTGCATTGAGCCTATACATCAATCTGCATTGAGCCTATACATCAAACAAACCCAGAGGCAAAAAAAGCAATGGCTTTACAAATTGTTATAAAATGTAAGGTTATTTGCAAATGTAAAACAAGAAAATCAACCCCAACCACTTCAAACCAGACTAATTATAATCCAACACTTATCCAATTGAAAGAAAACAAATAGATATAATACATATAAACTGTTTGACATATATGTTACTGTTCTTTGCAAAGCTTGTGCTGTGTTTGACATATATGTTACTATTATTTGCAAAGCATGCGCTGCATTGGACAGTGCTAGGAAAAAGTTAAATAAATTTATCATGTTTAAGAAGAAAACTACTGAGTGATATGCTTCCTTAAATCCAGAATTGCTGAATTGTTGCATCAATTTCACCTGGACTTGGGCTGAATTTGAGTATGACTGCACACCAAGTCCAGACATCATTAAGGGCAGCAACTTTATCCTCTGGTCGAAGTTACAAAGCGGGTCCAAATTTGCAAATTCCATAGCTGACTGTAATGGGAGCATACACTTTGATCCTGGATTTCATGGCAAATAAGATTAACATTAAATAAGAGAAACTAACCAATCAAGCTTGTAGCCCCGTATGACTAAACAAATTAAAGGAAATATCTTTTCAAGACCAAAAGAAAACAAATTTTCAAACTTTTCAAAAAATAAGACCTTACAGGTCTCAAAAGAAGACCCTTGTCACTAATATCTGTTTATTTCGGTCGATCCACCGTAGTTCAGAGTGGAAAAGTGGGCGACTACGAAATTTGAATCAAGCGATGTGGAAGGAAAATATGAGAATAAATTTGTGAGAAGAGATATTTCTTCGAATGAAGAGAAGAGTAAAAAAGTCAGTTAAGATATTTTAAATTATTGTTTTATTCCTCATTTTGTTAATTGTGCTTTCAGCTTTTTCAGGGTGAGTTTTTTGTTTAGTGAGAATCTTATTCGTGAATTGATTTTCATATTTAATAATAAAAATTATAACAATAAATTAATATTATTATTATATTAATAATTTTGTTAATAATAATAATTATAAATATAAAAATAATTTTTATAATTATAATATTTTAAATAATAATAATATTTATAAAAATAAATATATAAAATAATAATTATTATTATATCAATAATTAAAATAAAAACAATTTAATAATTATAATATTTTAATTATTAATAATAATATTTTTTATCAAAATAATAATTTAATTATCTTATAATTTATTTTATTATTATTATTTTCCCATTTATATCAATCAAATCACTTATTAACTTCTATAAAAAAATTTCTCATTTTTCTACATTTTTTATCAACTTTCTCTTAATTCAGATAGTCTTATTTTCATTTCTTTTTTCCTTCATTTTTTGTTTTAAGTAAATGCTAACATTACATTCCCTTCAAATCTATCTTTTCCCATTCTTTCAAATCCATCCTCTTGTTTAAATTTTTTTTCCTCACTCCTCCAAATCAATCATCTAATTCAAACAAATGCTAAGATTGCATTCCCTTCAAATCTATCATTCTCATTCCCTTCAAATCTATCTTTTTCATTCACATTAAATTTATATTTTTCAATTCCTTTAAATCCATCCTTTAATCCAAACAATGGAAGTAATCTTGCAATTCGATTCTTTGGATGGTGAAATTTAAAATTAGATTTAAACTTTCAATCCCCAGTTTTTAGGAAGGAGCTACATTCAGGTTCACCAGGCCTTTCTGGAAACTCTTCCACAGACATCTGCTTTTGATGGTGTATGTAAACATTTGTATCGACTGCTGGGTTGGTTGTTAAAGACAAACGTAGAAGGTGGATGCATGTTCCTCTCATGAACGTAGAGAGATGTCTTTACAAACCACAAATGCGTCAATTTGATGGGAAAACAACCATTTGCAAGAGTTCAGCTGATAGAATAGTTAACACAGGTAAAGAAACATGACCACTCAGGTCCTGCATTGAAACCGAAGAGTAAAATGGTTCCCCGTAAAAATCAGGCGGAGAAAAAATAATAACAAATACTTGGGTGGAAGGGGAATGGAGGCTGTAGAATGATCATAAATTCTAAACATTAGATGCCATAATCATACTTTTATTTTAAGGATCAGTAATAGGTGCAATTTTAAATTTACTTTTAGGCATAAAGGCAAATATGCATTGCTTAATGTGCATGATTCTGCAATATGCTGTCAGTTGAACAAAATAAATCACACACCAGATCAACAAAATGTGGCCCTATAAATTATATGAACTTCTTTGTACTTCTAAAAGTATTTGATTTGGGTATATATCACTCAAACTAAAATAGCCTAATATTTCTTTTACTACACTATTCAATGTACTTAAAACAAAATGTGTTAGATTAATGACAAATATGCAATAGTCAACAGGTGATAATGACATTATCTTACAATCTAGGAAGTCATTTAAAAAACATCAGGAAACCAATGATAGGACAACATAAAGTTGCAAAAAATATACCTTCAGCCATTGTTACAGTTATGACCATTCACCAGTTCCTCCAATAAAAAATATACCTTCAGCAAAGGCAAAATAGTCTTGTTCTCGATCCAGCACCGCAAATAATACAATGTCACGCAACACAAAGGAAATCTCGGAGAAAATATAACCTTCACACAAAGGAAAGCTTAACCTCCGACCATGCTATACTGATCGCTAACAGATAGCAATGCAAACAAACCAACCATACAAAAACCAAAGCATCACTAACGAACATAACATCGGGAAAAGGCATACCTCGGAGAAGAAAGGCATAAGTACCTGAATTTTCTTCCTAATGGGGTGATTAAACTTGCAGATAAGTATGAATAATTCTATAACTGCTATTTCTTAGGTGGGACATTATAGACTCGTAATTTTTATGAACATGTTTGCAGCAAAAACTAAAGGATTGTGTAGGAATTTTCAAAAAAGTTAGTGAGTACCTTTTACTCTTACAAAATGTTCCCAATCTCCAAGATTCTTTCTATAAAACAAAAACAATGAAAAATGATTCCATTTTATTACCAAAAGGACGACAATTTTTTGGATAAGATTGAATGGAATAAAAAAATTCAATCATTTTTTGATATTGATATTGTTGTTGTTCCACCTTATCATCATGCTACCCATAAGAAAGCAGCCTTTTAGGAAGAGCAGTAGCTAAACCTGGTATCCAGTCAACTGCTCAATTATCATACAGAAGATAAGCAACCCACTACATAGCAAACGAATCCAATTTTAAACGTTGTCCCATAACATAATCGACACACATTATCTTCGTATGCTGGTAGAAGAAATCTCACTCAAATCATTGTAAAGCCTGTGCATACGGCATAGCCCTTCCCAAAGGTATCACCTGTTCCCAAGACCTTTGCACCTTATATCTAGCAGTGAGCTTACTTGTTTTTCAGCTATGTTTCTCCTTTTAGCTGAAACAGTAAACAGTATATACCTGTTGGAAACACTTGATGTAGCATTACGAGTATCCCTAACCCCCACGTGTCCCTAGCCGGTCACAGACCCCTCCAGTGACCTGAGTAGCAGCAGCTGATTCCAGCCACAACCAACAATAGGAAAATAAACTGTTATGCATAACTATTGTCCTAACAGATCATTGAAGGATGCACAAACACTTTATCTGACGGTAAAATAATACTACCACAATCCAAATGATGCCAATTATTCAGGGCAATGAAAATAAGATAGCAGGCCAGAAGTTTCACCCGGATCTGAGCAATTGAAGCAGAACCTAGGGGTTCAACATCGAACCTCTCGAACACATTATGAGTATCATGCCCTAGCTCATTCTCCAAAACTAGTTTCATTTCATCAAAAGGGGTAGGAGGAGCCTTATCTCACAGCGTAAAAAGCCTTTTCACCCATGCAACCTGGGCCAAATCAGGCTACCCTATAATATGGGCAATCTGTACACATTCAACATCACATATAAAATCCATATGACGATCAACACAATCAATCATAATAAGGCAGAGCCAAAAACCAACATGCCGAGTCATTAAAAACCTCCAAAAATTAAAATCCACAATCCATAATTGTTCTCAATAACAAACCAAAACAAAATAGTTTCCCAATCGATAAAACAATCTAGGGAGCGAAATAACCCGAACACATAAAAATGAAAAAAAGAAGAATAAATACACAAAAACAATAATAAATAGATTTCGAAATGCTCAAAGACCTTGAGGAAGAAACCTCCAAGGTCAGAGCACAAGGCGAATATCTTATCGGCAGCAAGCTCGTGCTGCCGTTCCCACGTTGCTTTTTCTATCATGTCAGAATTAAAATGCAGTGTCACCTGAAAGTTGTTGGGAAAAATATGCTGAATCTTCCCATATGGTCAGATTTGTGAAAGTGAAATAAAAGCGGAATAATTGCACACACAAGTTGATAACGGAGTTCGGCCAATAATACCTACGTCTCCGGACTACTACAGATCTCTTTCTGGGAGAAAAGAAAATACACAAGTGTTTACAAAACACTCTCAAAACACTCACAACTCACAACCCAATTACACCCAGAAGCTAAACTAAAACTCTCTAGTTTTTCTGCCTCTCACTGGTGCCACTCTTTCTTCTCTAAGAGAAGTAGTATTTTGTGTGGGATGGGGATGCATTTGCTTGCAGGAAGAAGACCAATTTATAGCAAAAATTGGTACTGTGCATTACCATAAAAAAATGCCTCGTGGGCACCTCATGCTTGCATAAAAAATTTTGGCAGCCACCCTTGCCCACTTCTTTGACCAATGGCAGCCACCCTTGCCCACTTTCTTTGACCAACAATCTCCCACTTGAGGACCGATTTCAATCTGTCCTCACACCTTGATCAATAGTAGTCTTCTCTTGTCTGTTATCCTTGTAAGCTAACCGAAGTTGAGCACAACTTCAGCTTGTCAATAGTCACCACCTTTGTTAGCATATCTCGCTGGGTTCTTACTTCCCACAATTTTCTTCAATGTTAGCATCTCATCCTCAAGTAGAGATCCGATGAAATGATAACGTATGTCGATGTGTTTGGTTCCGAGTGAAATGCTGAATTTTTTGCCGGATGTATTGCACTCGACTATCACCGTGCAAAACACTCCTTTCTTGAATGAATCCCAACTCGCCAACAATCCTTGAAGCCATATCAATTCTTTATCGGCTTCATCATCGCTACATACTCAGCCTCAGTAGTGGATAAAGCAACAATCTTCCGTATCCGCGACATCCAACTAACAACTGTAGTTCCAACAAGTAAACACATACCCGAGTGGTGCTTCTTCTGTGATCAACTTCACCTCCAAAGTCTCGCATCTACGTAGCCTCGCAATTTTAGATCTCCTTTCTAAAATACGGACATTTTTCGTCAGTGCCTCGTAGATACCTTAGAATCCATTTGATCGCTTCCCAATGAGCTTTTCCTGGATTTGACATGAATCCGCTTACAACTCCCACTGCATGGCCAATGTCCGGCCTCGCATGCACCATCGCGTACATCAAACTTCCAATGGCTGAAGCATACGGAATCTTAGCCATTAACTCTTCTTCTTCCTTCGTTTGAGGAGACTGATCCTTGGATAGACGAAAATGGCAAGCCAAAGGTGTATTGACTGGTTTGGCATTGTCCATGTTGAATCTCTCGCAAAACACGGTTGATGTACTCCGCTTGAGATAACCGCAAAACTCCTTTTTGCTTATCTCTCGTGATTTGCATTCCAAGAATCTTCTTTGCTCGGGCCTAAGTCCTTCATGTCAAATTCTTTTGACAACCGCTTCTTTAAGTTTATGATCTCATTCATATTCGAACCTCGCTACTAACATATCATCAACATAAAGTAGCAAAATGATATAACTCGGACTTATACCTCTTGAAGAAACAACGATGATCGGCGTTGCACTTCGAAAACTCTCCTTGTGCATGAAGCTTTCGAACTTCTTATACCACTCGTCTTGGAGCTTGTTTCGAGCCATACAAGCTCTTTTTCAATCTGCACACCAAGTTCTTCTTTCCTTCGAAAAACCTTCAGCTTGGTGCATGTAGATCTCCTCATCTAAATCTCCATGAAGAAATGCGGTCTTCACATCTAATTGCTCTAGGTAGAGCTCCTCACTAGCCACAATACTTAACACAAGTCCCGATAGTATTGAGCTTTACAACTGGAGCAAAGATTTCGAGTGTAGTCGACTCCTTCTTTCTGCTGAAATCCTTTGACGACCAGTCGAGCTTTGTATCTCTTAGAACCATCATGGTCTTCCTTCACTCGATACACCCATTTGTTGTGAAGTGCTTTCTTTCCCATAGGTAACTTGACTAGTTCCCATGTCTCGATTTGAGATTAAAGACTTCATCTCGTCTTTCATGGCAAGCTCCCACTTGCTAGCATCCGTGGCTTGACAAGCTTCCGTATAATCTTCGAGCTCCCTCCATCGATCAACAACATGTAGTCCATGTATCTCCCGTTAGGCACATGAGGCCGAGAAGACCTTCTCAATACAGGAGTTGGAGTAGGAGGTTCCGCTTGCACATCAAGTTCTTCAACCGATTCCTCCGGTCGAGGACTCCTCATTATAGGACTTTCTCGGGATATCTTCCACCTCCGCATAAACCGGCCCACTCGCTTCGAGTTGCCGGCACCTGTATTGTCCTTGTACATCACTCTTTCATTGAAGATTACGTCTCTGCTGCGGATCATCTTTTTGTTTTCATCGTCCCATATGCGGTAGCCAAACTCATATTCACCATAACCAAGGAAAGTACATTTCTTTGATTTTGGATCAAGTTTGTTTCGCCTTGATCACCGATATGCACATATGCTACACGACCAAAAACTCTAAGATGTGAGAGTTTTACCTCTTTTCCGCTCCATACCTCTTCTCGGTATCTTGTGCTCCAATGGTACCGATGGACTTCGGTTGATCAAGTAAGCTCGCTGTGTTGATCGCTTCGCCTAAAACCGCTTTGGTAAGCCTCGACCGCACACGCATGCTTCGGCCCTTTCAGTCAACGTTCGATTCATACGCTCGCCTACCCCATTGTGTTGAGGCGTACCGGCACGGTTCTCTCCATTCCGATTCCGTGCTCATAGCAAAACTTCTTGAATCTGGTGTCTACATATTCACCACCATTGTCGGATCTCGAGCTTCTTAATCTTCAATCCTCGTCTCATTTTCCACCATAGCTTTCCAAATCTTGAAAGCTTCAAATACTTCGACTTATATTTCGGAAAGTAAACCCATATCTTTCCGGAGTGATCATCAATGAAAGTCACGAAGTAATGCTTCCCACCAACGGATGGGACAGTCGTTGGACCCCAAACATCGAGTGGATGAGCTCAAGCTTCTCTTTCTTTGGGGTTCTTTTACTTGTCCGAAAGTCGACTCTCTTCGCTTTCCAAGTATGCAGTCTTCACACATGTCAATATCTACCGATCGAAGACCTGGTAATTTTCCTCTCGAGTGCATGACCTTCATTCCTTTCTCACTCATATGTCCAAGTCTTTGGTGCCATATGTTGGAATTTTCATTTGTTGCAATCGCAATCAAATGACATGCTCCTCGCAGTCTTGTAGAGAGTTCCACTCTTTTTGCCTCGAGCAATCGTCATCGCACCTTTTGAGATCTTCCATTCATCACCATGGAAGATTGTCGTATAGCCTTCACTAGCTAACCGACTCTACCGAGATTAAGCTCTTTGTCGGTCGGGAATATGTCCGACATTTTTCAATTCCCATACGAGACCCATTCGAGCTTAATCCTTATCGCACCTTTGCCTACAATCTCACATGACTGTTCATTACCAAGGTAAACCTTACCAAGGTTTCCTGGAACATAATTCTCCAACAGCTTCCTTCCGTGAGGTAGCATGAAAAGAAGCTCCGAGTCTAACACCCAAGACTCCTCCCCGCCTTCAAGAGAACATATCAACGCCTCATCTTTTCCCGAGGTGGAGGCAACGTTTGCTTCGTCTTTTGCTCCTTGATTCTTCCGTGCACTCTTGCACCGGTTTCGAAGTGTCCGGTCTTCCCACAATTCCAACACTCGATCGACTTTGAGTTGTGGGAACTACGATGATTTCTGGACTTGGACCGCCTCGTCCTTTGATTTTCCATGTCCAATTTCTTTGGTTGAACTTCTTCCTCTTGACTCGTATGCACATCGAAGAGGTTGATGCTTCACCCGACTCTCTCCGTCGGATCTCTTCGCCGAGAACCAAATTTTGAACATCATTAAATCTTAACTTATTGTTTCCCGATGAGCTACTCACAGCTCGTGACCGTAGCATTCCAACTCTCCGGTAGGGAAGACAAAAGTATTAAAGTTTGTACTTCATCATCGAATTTGATGTCAATAGAACTCAACCGGGTTGTTACAGTGTTGAGTTCATTGAGATGATTTGCCACCGAAGCACCTTCGGACATCCGCGAGTTGAACAATCGCCTCATCAAGTGAACTTTGTTTGAGGCCGATGGTTTCTCGTACATGTTGGAAAGAGCCTTCATGAGATCTCGAGGTCGTCTTTTCTTTCACAATGTTAAAAGCAACATTACGGGATAATGTTAGACGAATAACTCCAAGAGTCCGCCTATCAAGGAGACTCCATTCTTCCTCTTTCATGGTTTCCGGCTTCTCCCCGTGAGTGGTTGATGCATCTTCTTCCGATACGGATAATCCTCTATCTCGCATCTTCCGAAGCCAAAGTCTGCACTCGTCGAACCTTTCGATTTTCATTTTTCCTTCGTCTGCATGCCATCACTCCAACTCGATTCGACTTATCTCGTCGGATCGTTTCGACAATTTCGTGAGCTACCGTGTTTCGTAACACGATCGCGGGCAAATTTGTAACGCCGACAAAATTTGCACTATTCACGTTTTCACTATTCACGGAATAGTAACTTACTATTCATATGAATAGTAACACCACAAAAATTACGGAACTAACAACCAGACTTCGATACCAGCTTGTTGGGAAAAATATGCCGAATCTTCCCATATGGTCGGATCCGTGAAAGTGAAATAAAAGCGGAATAATTGCACACACAAGTTGATAACGGAGTTCGGCCAATAATGCCTACGTCTCCGGACTACTACGGATCTCTTTACGGGAGAAAAGAAAATACACAAGTGTTTACAAAACACTCTCAAAACACTCACAACTCACAACCCAATTACACCCGTAAGCTAAACTAAAACTCTCTAGTTTTTCTCGCCTCTCACTCGGTGCCACTCTTTCTTCTCTAAGAGAAGTAGTATTTTGTGTGGGATGGGGATGCATTTGCTTGCAGGAAGAAGACCAATTTATAGCAAAAATTGGTACTGTGCATTACCATAAAAAAATGCCTCGTGCGCACCTCATGCTTGCATAAAAAATTTTGGCAGCCACCCTTGCCCACTTCTTTGACCAATGGCAGCCACCCTTGCCCACTTTCTTTGACCAACAAAAGTGCCACTGCAACAGACGATTGCGAGTTGCAACTTGAAGAAAAATAGAAAATCCACCATCATCTAGTGATTTACTCATGAACATATATCTGAGTCGATCCAGTGAACGAACACGAATACTGACCGAAACAGGCAAAAGGTTTATAGTGTACAATGTTAAAGCTATGGAAATATTTTAGACAAGTTGAGTGTCAGTTCAATTAAGGTACATATACTATAACTTATCGAGTTTGAACTAGCATTTCAACTCTTGTCCAATTTATTCACTGATTTTGTCGAACACTCTTAATTTACCAAACTTTGGTCCAAAAAATAGAGTTTCTGACCCACTTGAAACAATACATACCAGAAGTGTCAACAGAAGAATCAGATACAAACCAACACAGCATAAAATAATTTGCTTGGAATTTAATTGATAGAAGCAGTGGAAGGTACAAATATTTGTATATCCTTGACACATAATTACTCATTTCATTGCTTCCAGGTCATTAATCTATCTTTAATCTGACATTTCACAATCTTGCAAAATTTGAACGCCGTCCAGTTCACTTCTGGAATCACATTCAATGGAAGTTGATGAGATAGATGCAGTACTTCCATTCCCCGTTGAAGTTGTTGTCTTTGCAGAAGATGATGCCCCGGCTCGTCCGGTATCTACAACTTGGAAGAAATTTAGAATGGAAAGGTTAACTTGTCTTCGCTGATCCGATTTCCCACTAGAAACATGGTCACTAACCCTAAACGAAGAGTTATCAGAATCTGTGTCCATCATCGTTGTCTCGGAGCATGACGTGCTTTCTGGATTAACATCTGGCTGATTTACTTCTTCAGCACAAGGTGAAGAATCATCTGTAACCTCACTTGTATCGACTCGCGCACCAATCTTTAGCTTCATGAGAGTAGCCTCTGAATCGAAGTGAAGACAATTTAACAAGAAATTTCAATCAAGTCATATCATCGACCTACATTTTCTCCGAGCGAATTAAGATATAGAGAGAGAAAGAGTGTACCATATATGGAGAAGGAGTCATCTTTGAGAATCTTGGAGGGAGAACCCTCTAAGTTTTCCAGTGACGAATTCGATGCCCTGATTCTGCCGAACATTTCTGATGCTCTCTTGTATTCGGTTTTGCGCGGGTCAGGTTATTCTTCAAAGAAGAAGAAAAGCATCAATTGAGAAAGGCGCTTGTTTCGGATTGAATCTGGCAATTAAGCGGGAAGCGTGCCTCGCACACTTCTTTTTCAAGGACTTCAATATTCTCTATTTCGTGGTCTTTCAGAAATATTTTTGTTCAAAAAAAAAAAAACTTAGTCAAGGCCTAACAAAAGACCGCAACTTTTGTTTGGGCTGGACCTAGCCCATCTTATCGTTTAACAATGAGGTAACAGTTATTTACATAGTTAAATTTATTTTTTTTAGTTGCATCTTTATTTTTAAATATTGATGAGTATGTTCTTATTTCTTTCAAAATAATAATTCCAAAATGTGCTTAAAATCTTCTCCGGAAATCCTCTAATTTTATTTTCTAATTTGTGTGTTAAAATATGAGAGTAAAAAAATAAAATTATTTAAATTAGAAGAAAATTAGTACAAAGTGACAAAATAAAATTAGGCAAATTTTTTTAATTAATTTTAAATAAAAATTATATATTATAAAATATATTTTTTATAATTTAATAAAAATGAATATAAATTAAAGATAAAAAGTAATTGAATTTAAATTAATTAATTTTTAAGTTTTAAAAAATATTAAAGATTGTTTAAAAATCAAATTTAAATTATTTTTAAGTAATCAATTACAAATCATATATGCATTTTTATTTCACGTAGTAATTAAAAAATTTAAAATATAATAAAGTAAATTGTAATAAAAAATAAAACATCCATTAAAGTTATATTATTAAGAAAAAAATATTAAAAATTTATACTACAATATTAATATATTTGAGAAAATTAAAATTGTATTTAAATAATCTTAACTTTATTATAATAGAAAATATATAAAAGAACGGATAAATATATCTATGAACATTGATTAATATATAATAAACATAATAATATTTTGTAATATATAATCGATTATATATACTAATATAACCAATGATCCACGTTCGTATGTTTAATTTAATTACATCTATTCAAAATTTCATGATTCAGATATTTTATTTATAAAATCATAGTACAAATCAATTTAGTAAAATCAAATTATAGATGATCCATACAGGATTATATACATATATAAAATAAATAACATATTTTTAGATTAAAAATAAGAAAATTAATATAAATAACGGAATAATGAATAATATATATATATATATATATATATATATATATATATATATCATAGTTATTAAATAGAAGAAAAAAAACATAAAATTATAAATTATGGATAAAAAATTATGAAATAACTTCGAGATAATATAAACAATAATTATAATTGTAGATAATTTTTCATGTCATTATTCTCTTAAAAAAATATATAAAGGAATTGAAACCACTAATTTTCCACTTAAACAGTGCAGAATTCTTTAATCAAATCCAAAATTTTACGTTAAATTTACACTCTTAATTTCTTTTAAATAGTGGAATCTAGATCCAAACAAAGACTAATATTAGAAATGAGAAAAAAAAAGAATAGTTTGCCAGGAATTTAAAGTTGAATATATATATATATATATATATATATATATATATATATATATATATATATAATCAAATATTATTTTAAAAAAATGTTTCTTAGGGATAATTTTTCCATAAATTTTTATAAAAAAAAATTCATTAGTTGAGGTGAAAACCTTTTTCGAATTAAAGTAAAAATTTTACTTCATAATAAGATGTAATATTACTCTTATTAAATCAATTGATGTGGTAAAAGTTTAAAATTTGTAGTAAAAACAATGCATTGATTTTTTTATTGGTAGCAAACCTATATATAAATGTTTCTATAAATATTTTTTACCTTAGCCTTTTCAAAATTTCATAGATCCTAATTTTTTTGGTGTGGACAGTTCTCTTATTAGTTGTACAACATTCCCTTTTAAATTCTTATATTTAAAAGTTATTTGTTTTAGTCTTCCAAATATCATGTTTAAGCTTGCGTTAAGAAAATTAAATTAACTTGATGTTTAAATCTTACCTTTTCTTACTAAAAAAATAAAATGAATAGTCAAAACCCTAGAAGGAGCATGGTTTCCTGAATCCCTGAACCAGTACCATGGTTGAAAATCTTGTACCCTCATATCATCATAAGCATGCATGAGGTATGCAATTATTGAATCTTTACACGTGAATTTAAGCAGGGTATAGACCCGGTTCGACAATTCACACGCGTGGTCAATTAATCAGGTCAAACTAAATACTCTACCCAATACAAATTTTATTTTTTTATTTATTTAATTAACATTATAAATCACTATTGCGTTTACTTTGACCCTTGGTCTTCCTTTGTATTTTCTCTTTTCTAATTATTTTTCAAATTTAATTTTCACAACACGTGATCCAAAAGTGAAGCCCCCTTCCCTTTTTCTATCCGTGTCTTGTTGCAACATGTAAATTATAATAATAATAATAATAATAATCAAAATTATATTTAAAATATTAAAATATTAAATTGTTAGATTTTTTTTCTGTGAAATTAAATAACTTACAAGTAAAAAAATATATTATCTTAATTGAATATAATATTATATTAACTTATTTAATTAAATTCACTAAATATATTAACTCCTTCATTACGTTAATAACATATAGACAATATTTTTTTTAGTAATATAATTTTAAATGTCACTGAATATCATATTTAACATTCATTAACTAATATCTTTTGTAATTATTTTGTTATAAATTAGATAGATTTATAAATTTATAATAAGGAAAGATTGGTAGTTTTGCATAAAAGTTTGCAAAACTATATATATCTATATAGTTATATATAATTTATATGAGTAAACATACACTTTAATATTAATATGATTTTCAGTTTTCAACTGTAATTTTATTTGAATCAAAACTAGGTAATTATTTACAGAATTTCTTAACCTAAATAGTCTACACATAATGTAAAAGCAAGGTTTGTGTTTAAATGTGGAGGTTTGAGAATTAATTTTTGTACTAATGATGATTTAGGACATCATTTAAACACGAGCTTAGATATATAGAACTAAGGTATTGGGATTTTAATAGCTACACTCTCCTCAAACAAAGATAATTTCATGAAAATCAGTTTTTAGATAAATTTATATCATTTTATTTTAATAGTTTTTACCAAGTTAATTTTGACAAAATTAACATTATTCAAAATCAAAACCAATTGCATTGTACAAATTATATATCTCATGTACTATATGCGAGTAATTTTAATATATTAGTGTATTATCTTAATAACTTAGACTTTCTTTTATAATTTTAAGTGAAAATATTTTACAAAAATCTCAATTTAAATTATATTTAAGTCTACAAATTAGAAAGTTAACTCCGTTTTTAATTTTTGTAAATACATTCTTTATCCTAAAAGAAGTCTTAATTAAATTTTCCTTTTTTTACAAACTTTTGATCCTAATTTTGTTGTTTTATAATCGTTATATAACATCATGGTTTATTGGATGATACTATATTTTCTTTTGTGTTTTAGATTTGTATTGTATAAAAAACACTACAACACAAGTTGATTATATATAATAATATGTGCTAGTTTTAATTGTCTTGTTGCAGTATTCAAAAGAATTTTGAAATTAAGTGTTGACCAATTAAAATTAAGGTAATACGGAACATTTTGTCGGAAAAAAATTCAATATCATTTATAAATTAAAAATTATATTATATGTGAAGATTTTCCCGTATTAATATTTTGTAAAAATTCAATAATATTATTAAAAAAAATTATAGTTCATTTAATGATATAACAAACTGAAAAAGCAACACCTTTTTTTATACTCTGCAAAACAGACAAAATAATCATACGAACCATGGGCACCGTTGTTTGTTGATTTGGACGAGGGTCACATTGGATACTACTCATACTGGGCAATGGGGAGTGACAGTTGCACATCTGTACTCTGGTCACAGTTGTTGATTTGGCTTTACACTTGTATAAACTGTCACACATTTTTATTTTTGTTTTTTTGGGAGAAGGAAAGGGTGTGGGCAAAAGGATAAGCTGAGTCTATACAAACTTGTGCTTCAAATGTTTGTCTATAGTTTTGATTCAAATGATATTACATTTTTAATATAATACATATTTAATTCCTATAAACAAAAATATATACTTACATGGATATTGATTATCATCTTATTATAAATCTAAACTATTTGTTAATTGATCGATATCATAATATTCAAATTAATTAATTAGGTTCAAGATGGAGGAAGCAGATAATTACATTAGTGAACTGTGTGAACTGGTCTATGGTTCAAATTTATCTTGATAACTCTATTTAAAGTAAAAAAAAAAAAAAAAACTTATTTTAGAAACATGGAAAAAAAGCAGTTAATTAATATAACTAAAAAATTAGTTGTTTTTTAAATAAGTAAATTATAATAGAAATCTGTTTATTTAAAAAAATTGTAATGTTATTTTTATTTTATATTATTTTATTTAATTAGGTAGACTTCTTGTAAAAATCTACAATTACACAAATAAAAAAATAATTATTAACAAAACCATCTTTATGCAAAAGTGAAAATATAATTATAAAATTATTGAAATTTAAACAAACAATCACTAGATAGATATTTTATTAAAAAAAAAAATAAAAATAAATATATAAAAGAAAAAGAAAGAGATATATTTAAGATTTATTGTGATAATTTAGCAAAGAGATGGTACGTTATATCTTCTTGAGACGCGCATTTGAAAATGGAAAGTCCCACCACTCACTTGTACACGCGAATTTTGGGAGAATAAAATAAAAACGAAAAGAAAAGAGAGTATATATTTTTTATTTAATATTATTTTAATTATTATGAAGCAAAAATTAAAATTATAAATATAAAAAATTAGATTTAAGTAATTTACAAAAATTTGGGACCGTCATTTCTAAAATAAATTATTATTATGAATTTTATATTTTAAAATATTTAAAAATTGATTAAAATTGTTTATATATTTTTTTAATTTTATTTTTTTAGTATTTAAATATTTGATATATATATACATATATTATTTATAATAAAATATTTATTTTTATTATTAAAAAACTTTAGATTTAACTTGAATTTCACGACTATTTACACCTGTGTCTGTTTCACCACTGATATAGGAACTTGGAACATATTGGTGGGTCATATCCAATTTTGTCTTCACAACTAATATATCCTTTTCTTCTCTCAATATAGTGTCTACCTGTACACTCACGATGTGAGAACCACCGTGTATTTCTAAATTTCTATCATATCTTATAAGTTGAGTACAAATTTTGAGTTCTATTATGACATGTGCTACCTTTTTTTTTTGCTATGATTTCTTATAGTTATGTCTTTTAATTATAAAACGCACGTGCATACCAGAGTATTATATTCTGTTAACTAGAAAGTTTCCTATATGGAAACCATGAGGATTATAATATGTAATTACAGTTAATATTTTTTATCTTATTTTAAAAATAGTTATTTAAAATTAATTTCTATAATTATTTTAATTTTGTAAAATCAAATAAACCATATTCTAAATTGATAATTATATTTTTTAAAGCCTTCAATTAAGTTTTTAAACTGTCAAGATTAATAATTCCTTTCCTAACTTTATACTATTAGTGTTGGACAACATATACTAGAAAAGGAAATCAATTTATAGAATTTATTTTATTTTATATCTATATTTTAAAAGCTTCCCTTAAAATTTTCAATTGTTAAATTAACATCACTTTGATATTCTCTACCATACACTGTGTTAGTGAGCATTTGTGGTTATTGATGAAACAAGCCAAATTATTGCTAATTTAAAATTAGATGACTTTAAACTTCTAATATTATATAAATAAATAATTATATAAATAGAAATATCAAAGAAGTAATTTTTTATAATATTAAAAACATGTCTAAATATTCTAATATATTTTATATTTTCTTCTTTGATATTTTATTTTAATTTTGTAAATATTTATTTTTTTAATCATTAAAATATATTTTAGGCTTTTCTTGCCGTCTGATTTTGTGAATGTGGTTTCGAGTTTTCATTTGTGATGAGATTAAAGATGATTTTTTCATTATTTGAAATTTCTACATAATAATAAGTGAATGATGTTTAAAAAATACTATGAATAGTATATTTTTTTAAAATAAAATCATTAAACTTTTATTCATAAAAAATTAAATATTTTAAACATTTTATATTTTTTAATGAATACATTATTTAAATAAAAAAGAGATAAAATTTATTTTATTAAAAAAATATAAATATTATTTATTAAAAATATATAAAAAGGCGAATGCCCAATTTAAGATTAAAGAATATGAACGTGTTTAACATTATTTTTCTTAAAAATAAGTATAATTTTTTCTTAAAAATGTCATATTGATTAAAACATAAAAATGAAAATAAAAATATAAATACTTCTATAAAAATTAATTTTTAATAAATAAATAGACAAGTTAGTATTATTTTATTAAAAATATGAAAATGCATTTTTTAAAACATAAAATAAAATGAATTTCTACTTTAATATCATGAGAATACTTTATTATAAACATAAACAGATTAATATTTAAGAAACAAAATTGGAGTGACATTTATTATATATTAGGAGAGGTATATGCATTTTTTTCCTTAAAATTGGTATAAATCATTTTAATTGAATCAATAATTTCAAAATGACCATTAATTAATTTTAATTCAATTAATTGTAATAGCTTCATTGAATTGATTAAAGAGGTTGCATTTTTTTAAGGGATAAACAATAAGAAAGTTTAACAAACTTATATTAAAGTAAAGAGTAAAAAGAAAAATATTTCAAAATAAAAAATAAACAAATTACTACTTCTAAAACAATACTACACAGATAAATTTATAATTGTACAGTAACTTACAACTAACCTTTGAATTATGAACAGGTTGAACCATTACTGGAGTTAAAATTTTGAAAGAAAGGTTGTAATTTTTCACTGACTCGGCACAATAAAAAAATCTACCTTGGCAGGTAGCGTGAGTATGGTACATACATGCATACTGGTACATAATTTTAGGTATACTTCTATTTTGTCATTTAGTTTAAGGTACTACTGTTCTTCTATGTTTTATAATTAAAAATTCATGAATGAATGAATGAATTATTTGCCCTCATCAGGGTTAAGGAACACGAGATTGGGTTTTGTATTTTAGTTTTGACAAAAGTGTGGGAAATTGATTTTGGTTGGTCCAATCCAAGTTCAAAAGGTGGTAGAGGAGAAGAAGAAGTTGCCAGGGTTGAGTTAAGTTAAGTCTCTCTTTTATTAATACTACTTCATCTACAAGCATGCAACCAAACAATGCATAGATAAAAGTATCCCTTTTAGCTTCTACCGTCTCCCAAACCTCAACAAAAAATAAAAATCTATCACCAATCCCAACAACAAACAATGTCATCATCTCCTTTTCCTTCGTGCTTCCGGCCAACCCCCACCACCGAAGCCCACCCTCCACCGCCGCCACCACCACCGCCGCACTCTACAATCTCCAACCTCACAATCTACCACACCGACACAGGTCCCGTGTCCCTCACGTGGTCACGCTCCGTGGTGGGTCGCTCCCTCCACATTCAACTCCACCACCAACCTCTGGATTCCATCTCCTTCCACCTTCATATACGACCCTTCCTCTTCTGGAAAAAGCACGGTGTGAAGAAACTCGCACCCGACACCATCCTCTTCTGGAACCTTTCCAAGGCCAAATTCGGGTCCAACCCAGAACCCATTTCGGGTTTCTACGTTGCCCTCGTGGTTAACAGCCACATGAGCCTCCTCCTTGGCGACGCTGCAAGAGACGCATATTCGAAGTCCCGGGCCCACCACCCCGCCACGCCGCAGCTCCTCCTCCTGAAGAAAGAACATGTCTTCGCCGACCGCGTCTACTCCACGCGCGCCACATTCGGCGGCCGGGCCCGTGAGATTCAGATCGATTGCGGCTTCAGAGACCACTCCAAACTCTCCTTCAGCGTGGACGGGGAGAAGGTGCTGCAGATTAAGCGCCTCAAGTGGAAGTTTCGGGGCAATGAGCGCGTCGTAGTCGACGGCGTGCACGTGCAAATCTCGTGGGACCTCTACAACTGGCTCTTTGACAAGAACAACGCCGACGCGCACGCCATTTTCATGTTCAAGTTCGAGGACGAGGAGGAGGAAGCAGTCGCCGATAGAAACTTGGCGGGGCTGTGGAATTTGGGGGTTTGTGAATGGGGCAAGACTTGGTCTTCTTCGTCGGTTTCTTCTTCTGGTGGATCCTTCGGTGGAAGCTCCTCCGTTTTGGAATGGTCCAGTGTGGAGGAGAATGAATTGGTAGTTCCCGTTGGATTTTCTTTGCTCGTTTACGCTTGGAAACGCTGAAGAAGTGAAAAGGGTATTGTTGGAATTTTGGATTGGCTTTTCTACTGTCATCTGTTGCTAACCGGTTAGAATTTAGATTACATACTACATGTGTGATATTTCCCCACTAACCCATTGTTTTGTGGACATAAATACATACATAAACATTGAATAAGCCGAATTAGAATGTATAAGCACGTCAGAATCTTTTAGGGGATTTCAATTTGATGATAGACCTTACAAATGAAGTAGATTGGGGATTCTGTTTTTTTGTTTTGTTTTTTCTTTGCACTCGGTATCTGGTTTTATGTGGAACTTGTTCCCATGTAATGTAAATTCTTTCTGTAACTCACTGTTTGCAGCCGAGAATCAAATTGATTCACTCCGGCTTGATTGAACGAATTGCTTTCAGTTTGTTGTTAATTCATGACTCCCTCAAGTGGAGAAGTTTGGCCAATAAATCAATTTGGTCAGATTGTTATTTTGATTCAGTGATTCTTATATCTGTGAGACTAAACCGGTGTCAATGTTTCTGTTGAATACCTTAACACGGTAGATTTGTTAAGACGTGGTAGCAAGGATGGCACATCATATAATTAACATAGGTACTAAAAAACATCAAGGTACAGAAATGTATCTGAACCAAACAATTTGCTGTTATGATTGATTAATGGTAGTTTTCTCATCTGGGTGTGCTTAGCAGTTGAGTTTTGATTGGAATTGTAGTCGTGGTGTGCATTCCAAGTGTTGGACCAAATGGCATGTGAGGTAGGACCTGGTCTTTTTGATGCATTTGCAAATATGGCAGGTGAGCTTGTAGGTGGTGTGGTGGAGGTGGTAGTAGCCTTGTGTGACCGAAACAAACCTCGAGTTGGTTGACCTAGTCACCTAGAATCAATTATTCCATTCAATTGAACGGTTAACAATAGTTGAAAACTCAACCTAACCCCACACTCTTCTGTTTTAACTTTCCCACCAGAGAAAAAGATTCACCCAAGAAATGAAAAATAGTGAAAATTCAGAAATAGAACCCTGTAGATTGGAAACCGCAGAAGAATTGCGTAGGAAGAAGCAGTTGACAGTTGCGTTGGCTAACGGGCGTGTCGATCGTGGTGTGGACCACATGACTTTGTTTTTCTGATGAGGATTCTTCTTCTTTTGGTCTTGTGAACACGAAATAAAACAAGACAAAACAAAACAAATGGTTGTCTGCCAGCGATTTTGGTCGAGACTGAAACTTTTTACTTGGTCAATAATGAGCAGTTTATATGAATTTTATTTGGCTACGTGGTCTATTAATTACAACGTTAAGCGTTGCTAATTCGACAATCAAGTCAGGAACATGTCGACCAATCTCTTCTGTAACCTCGACCGGAAATCTTGTCAGCGAATTTTTCTAACTTTATTATTTATTGCATAAGATTGCAGTCTAGAGTCTCCCTCTCAATCGTTGTCTTTCAGAAACAATCTTGATTGAACTACAACATGATATTAAATATATATATATATATATATATATATATATATATATATATATATATATATATATATATATATATATTTCTCAATAACAATTCAAAAACATGGTTCACCACATAGGGAGAAATTAGCCCTTTTCTCTTGTTCAGAATATGTTTGAGTAAAGTATAACAATGTTATAATTGTTAATCAAATGACCATGATCATCCTTAACATCCCAATCATTAGGATGCAAATTTTATATTAAGGGACACCAATCGATTCCAAGCAAAAAAATTTGTCTTTATTAAAATGAAAAGTAAAGAAATTGCTTTACGCGTTACAAACTTTGAAGCGTCAACTTGTTAATTTGGGGAAAGTAGTTAAAGAGTAACAGGGTTGATATGTTATTTGCACACCAAACACCAATACTTTGGATACTTTTCACTTGGGCTACAATTTAGAACTTAAAAATGCACCCACATTTTAAGTCAAATGCCACCCATTTCGTTTCGGTTTTCTACCCTTACATTCAAGTTATTTTTTCGTTTTAGTTCTTTTATAACAAGGACATATTAGACACTTTTAAAAGGTATATTTTGATAAGTTTTTCGTATGAATTTAGAACACAAATTATAAATTAAAATTAACTCATACATAAATTCTCTACAGTTTACACCCTGGCACGACTTTTGCACATCGTTGCTAGATTATTCGTCACGCAAGTTAATATTATATTCTATTTAATATATTTGATGATTAAATATATTGGAAATGTCAAGATAATATTATACTTCTATCCAATTTTTATACGTATTGTTTTCCAACGTAAGTGTTTCTTTAGTCCATAACTAGATACTTGAAATTACTGAAATAGTCTTCTTTATCTTTCTTAGCCAATTTTTTCTACATATAATTAGAAATTGAACTTTAATCAATATGCATTGAAAACTTGGGTATCATTTTTGTATAAATTTTTATTAATTATATGGTATTTGGGTTTGTTTGAATCCCAACTTATTTGCTTCAATGTTTTTGTAGGGAATGGAATATTCCATTCCCCTTTTACACTCTCTAATAGGACTTTTTCTTTTTCTTATTTCGGGTTGAAAAAATATTTATAATATTATAAAAAGTGAGATGCATTAAATATTTTAATGTTTTAATTTTTATGGATGTTTGTTTGATACAAAATTATCATGAACACGACTCTATTTAGTATTTGCACTTATGCACTGTTTTCAGAATAAAATTAACTTTGACTTGTTTACACTTATCCTACACGTATTCCATTTGTGTTTTAATATTGTGATTTGTGAATGTCAACAAGTACATCCACCACGAAATGGAAAAAGGTCTCAAGTCCGAGATAAGATCGTAATGGGGAGATTAAAAATCTGATCTTTTTAAATTGGAAAAATATTATGTTATCAATTATACATCTAATTATACTCTAATTTTGTATGCAAGTCTAATTACAGTCTACAGTTGTGAGTATTAGGTTTTAAAACGACTAGAAGAAAAAAATAAAAAATAAAACAAATGTAAAGACATATATTAAAAGAATATGGAGTACTTGTATATGAGAAATGATGGGTGGAATATTAAAGATTTTTAAATAAAATTCAATATTTTATTATGAATTTTATATATGAATTATTTTACAAATTTAATTAAAATTATTTATATAAATAATTATTTTTTAATTATAAATATTTTTTTAAACATTTTTTTCAATTATAAATATTTTTTTTATTTTTAAAAAACTCTATACATAATAAAATATTTTTTTATTTTTAAATAATTTCCGTTAACAATTTCTTTAAAAATGTTATAATAGAATTAAAATAAAAATTCCCTTATAATAGTAAGTTATATGATTATGTCTCAATGTTTTTAAAATATTATTTTCTTATTTTCTAATTTATTATAATAATTAATTAAATATCAATTTAAAATAATAAACAAAATTATTTAAAATTAATAAAATAATATTTTAATCGATGAATTTAACAACTCTGGCGACGGTTAAGGAATAAGTAATTAAAATGTTTTCGATCACAGAATTTATGCATTCAAACACTTACCGAACACGCTCTTCCTAAATTTAATCATTTTTTTTTGTCGTGTTAGATATAATTAATATTTGTTTTATAATTTCTCTCATATTTCCTATTCTCTTTCCATTCTAAAAAAACCTATTATTTAGGTATTATGATTTTTATTTATTTATTTATTATTTTTTACATTGGTGAGTACTAAAAACTTCTTGTTGAATGCTAAATTGAAACATCGCAGCTCATGAATATGCATGCAAAAGCCCAAACGCTTGGGCCCAGTGTGAGATTACCATTTGAACTTTTTCTGTATTTGAGGTCCAATTGTTCTTATCGCTCTTTCTATATGCTATAACAGGTAATGTAGATCAATCAAAAATACACATCACAGAAATGTAGAAACAAAAGAACTTTCCATTCATTAAGAAAGAAAGCATTTTACAAAGAACAGAGACAAAACCAGAAGCAAGCATTCAGCTATTGCCATACAGATATACATCAGCACAGAAAGATTTAGCAAATAAACAATTTTCTTCCTTGCCCATCTGGGGTTGCTTGCACAATTCTAAACGCCTACATTTCAGATCTCATTCCTGTCATAGTTACTACTTCACTGTTAAGGTTGAGGTTGAAGCAGCATTAAGCAAAGATGAAGATGGACGAAGGCAATGTCTTTGGCTACTACTTTTAATTGCTGCACGTCGAGACCATGAAGGATTGGAGGAACCCTCGTATCTGCAGGATTGACTTCTCATTTTCCTCTTTTCTCCCTCCTGAACTCTGTCTGATGTAGCTTGGGGAACCTTTGTCTCATTTAGGCCAGGTGGGAGAACACAGTTGCACAGAAGACCTTCACATAAAGGAGCACAAGTAAAACTTACGAATGCTTACTCGTTGTTTTGGACAGGGAGGACACAGAAATCTTGTTTATAAGGTCCATCACAGAAACATCAATTCACATACTATTACTAAATTGGGAAGAAAATTTTTCCATAATCCAAATTAAAATATATCAGTAGATTTTTTTAGAAAGCATTCATCATGTCACCTAGTGCAAGGGGTATATTGTGCCGCATGAAGCTTGCTTTTTTGTCAAATAATTTATAACTACAAATTTAAATGTAGTTGTTTAGATGTTGATTGTTTTCTAATCAGAATTGAAATTTCACTTTAATAATCTATGTTGACATTAATTCAAACCTTCATACTTCACAAATCATACTGATGAAAAACTCCTATTTTGATGATGCGAAACTGCTTCTAATTTATGTCAGAAGAAAACCTTTATGTATATTTAATTCTAATGAAAACTTTTACTAAAAACTACAATTCTGATTGAAAAACAACACAAGGAGCAATTGGCTAAGTTGTTTTCTTTTTCTCCTGAAAAATATCATTCTAATTAAATAAAACAACAACAACAATAACAACAATAGCTAACGGCAAACACAACATTCAACAAGAAAAATGATAACATCAAAATAGATGCCATTGGAGTTTCCACTGCAACATGTGAAAACCCAACAGATACATACTATAAAAGATAATAAGTTAACATAGAATAAGAATAGGATCTATGTATTCCTTACCGAGTCGAGCAAGGCGGTTTACCCATCGAGGGATTGACTTTCCCGTTAACTTGAGACAAACATCGTTACAGAAGTGGTTGCAATTTTTGGAGATGAGATGATAGGTGTTGCCAGAGTATTCCTGAGCCAGTTTCTCCATGAACGCGCGAACATCTTTGGGACCCAGATCTGTTGTTCCGATGAAAATCGACTTTCTGAAAGTGAACCCGGGACAGTGTTTCGGTTGCACTTCAAAAATCCCCGTTGTGTCATGCTCGTGCGCACCAAAACCGTACTCAACTCCATGAACTTGAAAAAGAGAATATTTTAATTATCAACAGACAAAGGAAATTGTAAAGAGAAAAACATGTACTATTCTACACCCAAATAAGACAATATGGTTGGATTAGTAATACATTAATGAGTAATGAAAAGTTTACAAACAAACTGATAACGTTGTAGCAAACAATCCAGATGTTTGGTCCGAGCAACTTTGTGATATGAGAGAAAAGATGGAATTGGTTAAAAGTGGGTTACCTTGAACCCCAGAGTGGTAGACACCAAGGCCAAGCCAATAGGCATAACCATTGATTGGGGTGAGATCATAAACATTGAGGTGAACGGGGACAGTACCAGGCTTGTTCTTGCGCGGCCCTGACACAAGCTTACGGAACATTGTGGTGTGTGTTGTGTGAAATAATGGTGAATGCAGCGGAAACGGAAAGAAAGCGTTGTTTGGGGTGTGAGATAGAGAGAAGAAGAAGAAGAAGAAGAAGAAGAAGTAAAGTAAAGAAAGAAGAAGAAGAAGAATCTCTATGGGAATGGTGCAGCAGTGGCATCTATCGGCGGCCGAAAGTTTTTTTTTCTTTTTTTTTGCTTCACCCACCTTTCACTTTTATTTATTATTATTATATTATTGTTGCTGTGATCATGATCCTCTTCTGTTCTTGCTCGAGTCTGTCTCAATTGGTTTGTTGAATAGGGTATGGGAGATATTATGACACTACTTTTAATTGCGTAATTACAAAAAACACTGTTCAAACTTTTTTAAACAATTTATAAACAAGTAACTAGCTATCTTAATTAAATGTAGGGTCTAATCATCATGCTTCAAATATCTCTCGTCCTTTATTTAGATTGAATAAATGAATTCAAAGGAGTGAGAAAAAAAAAGTAAAACTCGAGGTAATTAGATTAAAAAATAAATAGAAATAGTAATAAATACATATTAATTATTTTTAATTATATTTAAATTATTTTTATAAGAAACAATTAATTTTATTTATTATTTTAATATCATTTTGATGTTTTGTAAATTCTTCAAAAAAATCTTGCGATTTTTTCATTGAAAAACATGTTTTTGTACAATGTATGTCTCCCCTGTTTTCCTCCTGTAACAACTATCTTTTGAATGGCGCATTGAATAGCAAAAAAATAATCACTGAATAGGCACACAGCAAACCCAACCACTCAATATTTTTTTTATTATTATAGCATACAAATTCCAAGTTAAACAGCTTTTATTTTATTTTATTAATATTATTTAGATCAGAGGGAGTTTTACACACTGAAAAATACCAGAAAGAAAAAAATAATGAATTAAACTATTATTTGACCTTAATTAACATTTATTGTTTTAATTTTTATAATTAAAAATAAATGATAATTGGCTATATCTTTTTAATCCATATTATATACTACTTTTCTGTTAATCTTTTTTATTATTGGTGAATAAAAAATAATTTTTTTATTATTCGTGCTTCGTCCCTTAAATTTTGTAAAATCTTTTCACAGGTAATTTGACATTAATTTGTATAGGGAAAGAAAAACATGAATTTGACTAAGTTTAACAGTTCAGTGATCACTTTCTTGAAAATGTTTGTTCAACAAGTAATAAATAATGACTGACAAAGTTGTTTCCTTATTCTGCCAATTTGAAATATGACTTTTATATAAAAATGTTGGTGTTATAAAACATTTTTTTTCTTTAATACAGAAGTCACAACAAGATTTTAATATTTTAGTAAAGTGATGTATTGATATACGATTTTAGTTATAATTTTTTATTCAATGAATAATTTTAGTTAGTTTTTTTAGTTATTATAAATTATATTTTAATAATTATAATTAATAAAATAAATAATTTCAGGGTTTAAATATTAATATTGTTAAATAAATTAATCTATTATAAGAAAAATATTATTAATGATAAAGAAAATATAAATATATTAAAAAAATCACATTTTCTCATGGATATAAATAATAATGATAATCATTCTTACATTTATTATTGAAATTATAGGAATATTATCGAATGACATCATTTATATATTTTTAAAGTACTTATATTAATGTATTTTTTTCATCATCAAAAAAATATTTTGTTCAATAATCTAATTTATATAAAAAATATTTAATATCATTGATGTCAAAATATTTAAAAAATATTTATTTTATTAATTATAAATATTAAAATAAATCTTTTAATAATTAACAAATTTATCAATTGTAACAGTGTTAAATTTAGTGTATTGGTTTGGTGTCTGTGTTTGCAGAGGATGAGGGCGCATGCGTTACCGAGTGTGTAATGTGTTCCCTTCTTCTCATACAACTCCTTCTGAAAGGTGTTCAAAAAGTAATTTTATTCCCTACATTTCTCTTATTTTTTACCTGGGAACTCTCAAATCGTATAATATTTAATTCATTTTTTATCTTTAATAATATTTTTAAACTTTTTAGTAGTTAATAAATACTGTATTTCCTAAAAATGCTGATTAAATAACTCTATTTTATAATTTAAAGTATCATTTAAAATTTTAAGGGCTAAAATAAAAACGTATTATCTCTTTTCGTTAGATAAACGTATTTTTAATGACAGTAAAGATCTTTAAAAATATCATAAACTTTAAAATGATAAATAATTGAAAAACAAACTAAAGTATGAAAGTTCTTATTTTTAAATTTCAAATTATGTTAAGTGGTTAATAATTATTATTTTTATTTTGTAATTAATTATTTTTTAGTTAGCAGAAAAATTAAAGTAAATTATTTATTTATTTATTTATTTTGTATACACTGGATTAAAGTAGAAAAGAAATATGGGATATCAACTCACATCTTGGCATATTCAAATTCTAAGTCTGCCATAATCCCTAAGTTAATGATTGAAGCAAACTATAATGACATTTGATAAAGGAGCACCACATTTTCATTTCACATTGGTTGGTAGTGGTGGAATTATCATCAATACCATGAACCCACTAATATTTAATACTGTTAACGTTTTTCAATATAATTTTTTATTCCACTTGCCATTTCTGTAATTATTATTTCAAGGCATTTTTAACAATCTTGATGGTAAATGACGAGGAAATTTCCAGTAAGATTTTCAAGACATTTTTATCAAAATATATTTCTTTTAAATATTTATCAAATCCTTTTATTTTGTCTCAATCTGTATTTTTAGGAAAAAAAATATAATTAATTACAATAATTAAAAAACTTTAAAACCAAATTTTTAAAATAAAAAAAATTACAAAAAAACTTAAATTAATACTATATATAACTTGAAAATATATTATTAAAAATACATAAACTTTATTTAGTGGAAATACTTTATTTTGGCAACTTAATAATTGAAAATAGAGGAGATACTTTATTTTGGTCAGTCTGAAAAAAAAAAAATGGATACTTAAACTTTTGTTCCTTACTTAAATATGAAAGCGGATCAAGAATAATCAATGGTTTGGGCTACAAAGTCCATTAAGAACCTGGACTCATGCTAGTGGGTTTCCAACTACATAAACCACCAATTTGCTAATTCCACTATCAAACTTTAAGAACAATCACATTGTACATCAAGTTACCAGCTTTTTATATTTTATCATTGAAATTATGACATATGAATCTTTGCCATTAAATATTTTTTTATTATATATATTGTGAAACTTTTAAAATACAATTGGTCACTATTATTTACTTTAAATTTCATGTATATATAAATCTTGAAAAAGAGAGAAAACAAGTGCATTTCTAGGAAATCCATCAATTGCATTCGGGTCAAGAAGGTTCACACACTAAAAAAATATTTTGGACCATTTTATTTGTCTTTCTTCTTTTGGGTGAGTGGTTAAAATGGAAAGTCATAATGTTCCTTTTTTTAAGAAAAAAAAAGGGCATAATGTTACTTCTGAGTTGTGGACAATTCAGGTGATTCATAAATTAGAAAACAAAAGGAAGACTCACTTCTCTTAACTTTATTCCGCATTTACTACAAAAGAATTGTTGAGAAGAAGTAAGAAGAAGTACAAGTTCAATTATAGAAACAATAAATTTATAATGGAAAAATTTTGATATCTTAATATTTTTGAGTTGAAGTGTTATTATATATTTTTTAGTCGTTTACTTAAAATAAGTTAGACACCATCCCTTTTTTTACTTTATTTTATTTTCTACTGATAAGAAACAAACAGTATTCATCTTTGTCTAGCTATCTACCACTTAACAGTTTTTTGCATTAATCTAGTCTCGAAAGCTTTGAACTTTGGGTCACCACACCACAAGATCTAACAATTTCTGAAGCTCACTGTAGTACCAACGCAGCCCATTCTTGCTCTGTTCTATGTTCAGAGCGACACATGCAAAAGTGGGCTTAAAGACCAGAGTTTCACCCATAAAACTAGGCTTAAGGAATGGATCACACCTAGCTGTTCTTATCACCCTCACATCTTCTGTAGTTTGTGTGATATACTTGAAAACAAAGTCAAAACTTAAGCACCTAGACACAAACAGATTCACTCACATGCATTATCTGTGATTATATGCAGCTTTGGTACTTTTCTCGCTTGTTTATTGGACCTTTCTCACTTAACATCTCCTTCATCCTTCCATTCAACAACATTGACAGATCATGCTGTTGTCCTGTCACTTTCCTTTTCCTCCACCAAGTTAACAGATCAAGACTTTTAGTTTCTGGTATAAAGACCACTTCATATTTCAAAATAAGTAAATTTTAATTTGAAATTTTTTAATTAGTAGCTGAATTTAGATATGGAGAAATGTGAAATTCATCTCTTATCCTAATTCTAACAGCTAAATTGGTTAATTTGGTTAACTATATATATATATATATATATATATATATATATATATTGGGGACAATTTTGTCAGGGAAGATCCCTGATTAAACTGTTTATTGTCGTATTAGTAGTAGAATAAGAACTAGCACCATATGAATAACCAGATTTTACGAGAACACTATAATTCAAATTGCTAACCTTTATATATTTTATTATCAACTTTATGTATTTAAAAAAATCGTAATTAAGATGCAGATTAACATTTACACTAATGTGTTAATGCTATGTGCAAATTACATAAAATGTTTCTATAAATAACTTACAAATGTGACATAAATAAAACTTGGAACGGTATAAAAAATTATACAAGACCAAACGTAGCTTAACATATGAGAATATTCACTTTCATGGTTTTAAGTTCTATACTTTCCAGCAGAATTTTATTTTATTTTATATTTATCTAATTTTCTTTCTATCTTTCTTATTACTTCCTTACCATATTATTTATTGCATCCATTATTTATTTTTCTCACACCAAATCCATTAAAAAAAGAATGAAACTTTATATTATTTTATTGTGCAAAACTCAATAAAGTGTTGTTATGCACAAATTGTTAGATATTTGTCTGTTCTTCTACGAGGGACTTTTTAAATTTGAAGATATACCCAAAAATATATATAAAAAAATACAATAATTACGTTAGTCAAACACAAATAAATTTTGAATTTTTTTATCATTTTTTAGAAGTTAAAAATAATAGTTTATGAAAAAAGTATAGAAAAATTAAATGATATATTTACTTTTCTTTATAAGTTCAGATAAATAAACTTGATAATTTGCTCATCGAGTTATCTTTTTGTTCTTGTGAATTTGTACTTGTGGTGACTTTGAAACAGTGAAAACTGAAAACCTCTATTCACTTGGAAAATCATCGTAAAGAACAAAAACTTTATTAGGTTGCCTAACCCATCCAATCATCCTATCATCCTAATATCTTAGCAATTGTTGGCCACCATATGTTTTTTGTGTTGTATAAGACTCCAAAAAGATTCAAAAAAGGGGTAGATTTTCATGTCCTAAGATTAACTCATAAATCACGCAAAAATACGTAGTAGTGGATTCTTCGGGGTCCATTATAAAAAAAATAAAAATAAAATAGTGGAAAAATTGCTACGATAATTACTTTTTTTTTTAGCAACTTTTGAATATAACTTCGATTGTTATAGTTATATGGTTTGCTTGCAATTAGCTATGATCGGAATAGGCAAATAGGTTTCTATGATCACTAAATAATAATAAGTTTTTAATATCTTAAATATGATTGTACGTTTATTTTTTATTCCTTAACACCACGTTTATAGTTTACATGGAAAATGAAGTACTTGACTTGAAAGGTTAAGCAATGATTAGTGACTAAATTAGTATTTTAGTCTCTAAAACTCACTTTCTTCATATTAATTTTAAAAATGAGATAATATATCTTACACAAGTTTTTGAAAATATGATTCGTTAATAAAATTAATATAGTTTTTTTTTCTTTTCTTTTTTTAAAGTAGGACTTAAACGATAGTATTAAATAGATTTTAAAATTAAATTTAAAAAGTCAAATAAAACAACTGAAAATTTAAATAACTTATTTAAAGTTTCTTTAATTTTATAAACTAATGTGAGGAGAGGATGCATTATAGTTCTAGTAACCAGGACAATTTATTTGGTGGGTTTCACTGTTTCTACGTGGACTTACTATTAAACTGTTAATTAAATATTAATGCAGAAGAATCTTTGCAAGATTTGGGATCACTTGATGATTGTGACCTTCCTATGTACCAAAACCTAAATAATCTAACAAGTCTAATTTCCTGTTCCATATGGGGACAAACAACTAGTCATTGTTCATAATTACATAATTAGATATTGTATTATTTTACTTGTCTCTTTGCCCTTCTGCACACACACACACACACACTCAATTTTAAGATAATCTTAATTTAATCATGTTATTTATTTAGCATATTTATTAACTTTGAAGATGATTGATATTTTTTTCCGAATCTTGTTACCTTTAAAGGCGTCTCCTTTCAATTATATGTTTCATTTCTAATATTTGAACTTAAAATATTTCCTAAGAAGTACAAAATCCAATACTACTGGAATTAACAATTTGATAAGATAACATTTTTTATTCATAAAAATACGAACAGAAAAGAAAAAGAAAAAGGATTTTTTACATTTCTCTTAATGAAAAGTTTAGTCAAACTTACTTTACTTAATGACTTCTTATAGATATTAAATTCTGTTAATCCAACTGTTAAACTTAATAGGTTATTACATTAAATATATTTTTTACTCATTTAGACGTGTTAATTGAAAAACTCGTCCAAATATAGACTTCATAAAATTATAAGAACGTTAGTTGATTGATAACAGATTGAATATATCTCATAACCCTAAGCACTCCACCATTACATTAATTTCACTTTGCTCAACCTTAACTATTGATCCTACATGCAATAGCAAACATCCTATGTCCTTCATTTTACTCAAGCCAAGATGGAACTGCAAGTAGCTATTGATCCAATAGAGTTAGTAACCACTGCAGATTTAGTGTATGGATTTTGGATTCCCATCTCACAAGAATATTCTTTTAGGAACACACGAATAATATATATGTCTTTCATTGTTGTTTCAAATGCATACGTTGGAGACATTTAGAGTGATCAGTAGGTTTTTCAGGTGGTCAACCTAGACAAACGTTTCTAAGAAAAACAAATGGCTAACCATTTAGTCTGGAACAAGTATCGATTTTGTTGAGTCAAAAGGGAAAAATTATACTTTCTCAGAATTTCCATTGGTCTTGGTTCACAGGAAAAACAAGCTAATCCTTGACCTAACTATATATCTGTCGTTTGACTGTGGAAGACATTTTAATGGGTAATCAACAGCTAGCGAAGTTGGAAGTGATTAATCAATTTAGTTTATGCTGGCATTAATTTTGAGATTTGATAGATTTCAATTCGCGGATGGTTTTATCAGGCTAGTTTGATTTCTAAGTTGAAACCAATTGTGGCAGATTCTAGCATAGATTTGAAACGAAACTGATCATTATGTACAGATTAGAGCACAAAAATAAATCTCCCTGAAAGAAAAAGGACTTAACAAACTACTGACCTTTAACAAACTTTAAAGAACTTGGATCCTACCCATGAACAAATTTACATGATACGTTATTACACAGGCTGTGAAATAATACATTTGGCAAAATGTTAACCCTACTAAGTACTAACTTCAACACAATCCCATGATGTTTAGAGCTTTAGGGACAAGTCAAGGTGCTTCTTTTCTTCTTGACTAGTCTTCAAACGAGTAATTCCACTAACCAGATATCCACTGGCTTCTTCATTACCTGCTGGATTGAGCATGGTGCTCACCGCTTCGAATCTCCCAACGCTGCCTCGTGATGTTTTGTGACAACTTTCCATCGTTAACTTCCCTATTCTAGGTTGTTGGGTGATAAGGGGTCTTGACCACGCATGAAGCTGTCCAAAAGTGTTTCCAAACCCATTGAATGAAATATGAGAAGAAGGAGGAGGAGGCTTGTGAATCATAGAGTGAGCCTGAATTCCAAGTGGTTTATTGCTACAAGCACCATGGAGAGGCAGAGAAGCCATGGTAGCATAGTGAGGAAGGTGATTGTGGAGAAAGGGAATCCCAAAAGCTGTTGCTGAGGCCATCATGCGTGATCCTGATCTGTGACCTCTCTTTGCAATTGACCTCTCTTTTTTGTGAGCATTTTGGTGTCCCCCAAGAGCTTGTGAACTGTAAAACTTTCTCTGGCAGTAGTTGCAAGAGAACACTCGTGGCTCATGGGGGTTTTCTGATGACAAATCCGTGTCCAAACACGTGATGAGATTCAGCACTCGACTGCACCCAATAGCAGAATCATCACCAGGGGCATTTAGATCCAATAAAGTATTTGCTTTTACCTCATTTTCTTCCTCTTCTTCTTCCTCAACAGATAGCTGTTTCTTCTCCTGTGGATCCTGCAATGGTGTAGTTGGACTTGGAGGAGTCTCTCCAGCAGAAAGGTTATCATAGAAGGGAGCCTCGTGGCTCAGTGTTTCCATTGCAGAGTACTTTCTTCGTGCCTTTGTAATTGGTAGTAGTTTAAGAAATTCTAATATGTTGATTCTTGACACCTACCTTTAAATGGAAAAAAGGAGTATATGGGAGGAGGCACAAGCTTTATTGCTATTTTTTAATATTTACTGTCATAGGTACGTGTATGGAACAAGAATAGGTTTTATATTCTTAAAGTCGCATTAGTGGATTAGGTTTATTGCAGAGTTAATCACCTATTAAGTTACCATTCTTGTCAAGAAGACTTATATCTACTGGTTAATCACCTATTAAGTCGCATTAGTGGAATGGTTTTCTTATTTTAGATTAATTAATGAGTTAAATATTAGATGAAAACAAGATAAAAACTTTTAAAAACATTGAAATTACATAATCACAATGCTTAACACACTAGAAATACATTTAAACCAAAAAAGTAAACTAGTGTGATCAATCTAGAAAGTTTACTCAAAATTACAGTAGATAGTTGTGGAGGAGGGTTGATGGATTTATGTTGTTTACAGTACTTTTGACTTTTATTGAAAAATCAGTAGTGACCCTGTCACCCATGTGATCTGCTGTATAGACTGAGACTCATGCAGTTGTGTATTTTCATTGTACTTTTACATGGTGGCCTACACATGCAGAAGCTTTTGGTTTGGCTTGGCTTCCTATAGGTAAAAGATTTAAATCTGCATGAGGTGGATGGTTTCGAACCTCTCCCTTTTCAACATCATGTTAAGTGAACTCTCTGGTCTCTGTCATATGCTCATGTAAAGACACATATCGTAGTATCATTGTTGGTCTTGAGAGCAGCATTATGGTACACCATTTTGGAGTTGGCCTTTGGGTGCAGCAAGGACCAGTAGAAGATTATAATTATCAAGTGATGCGATCACGCGCGGGTTCAAAAAGTGAAGCTAATAATGTCATATAGGACACAAAGCTAAACATTGTCATGGAGACCAAAGTCATCACCAAACAAACTTCCCTTCGTACTTGAAAGTCCATCAATCAGGGCAACATGTCCCCAGTTGTTGTTAGACTGTCCCTTTGCATCTCTGATTTGGAGAATTTTTTTTCTCCACTTTGGCTTTTTCTGCTTCGTCTGCATTTCTAGTTTCTACTTAAAACTTAAAAGGCACAGCTTAATACTCAGCCCCACTTTATGTGTAGCGTATTTGTATAAAATTTGAAACAAATTTCACACTTTTCAAGATATGGAAATCACGGTGCATGCCCTTGTCTCATAAAGCAAACAAAATTAGTGTGGCGAGTAATCTCTTGCTTGTTTAAGGAGTCATACAATTCGGCTTGTAATGAAAATATGATGCCAAATTCAAACAAGTAATCATCATTGGTCGCTGTTATTGGTTTAAAATTAGTTTTATTCAGATTTGTTGATTATGCAATAAATTCCATGCTTTTTATATCCTACAACAACGTATTATCAATGATAGAGTAAAAATGACTACTGCTACCAAACAATTTTTTGTCCTTTCACAAAATAGAATATCATGTTTCATTTCTTAGTCCACATTTTGCAACTTATTTTCTTATACTTCTTCTGTTCCATAGTTTGATCCAAAGTAAAAAACGTTATTATATTTACAGTTAATTAAAATATAATTAAATAAAGCAAAAAAAGGAGTAATGGGTTTAATGATAATAAAATATAAAAAAGGTTTCTTTCTGATTTAACATAGACTTTTTATACCTTTACAACCTTTTAAATTAATTTTTACAGTAATTATTAATTTTAGGAGATCAAATAATATATTATTAATAAATAATAAATAAATATAAAAAAATTAAAAAATAAAATTATAAATATATAAGTAAATATATTAAATAATTATTTATGAAAGTTACAAAATTTTGAATCAACCATAACCTCTTTAATTCTTAAAAAAATCCTCTTGATTAAAAGAAAAGAAGGAAATATTCACTTGGATAAATACTCTCACAGTCTAGCATGAGTTTCTGTTGGTAGTTTTGAAAATTAGCGTGTGTAGTAGTAATTGACATTGTGTGCTTCTAACAAAAAAAAATTATAACTTGAGTTGATATAATGGTTATCTATGACTTTTTATCTTCTGACAATTTGATCACCGCTTAAGAGTTCGAATATATTTGATATTTTATTGTTTAGAGTCACTTGAGAATTTCTTGTGAACATTGTACCATCAAAAGAAAAGATAAAGATAAGTTGAGATAGTGTTAACTAGCAGATTCATCCTGAATTATTAAGAAAAAATATTGAGTCTATAAAATTTATATATTATGTACAGTGTACTAACATTATCAGAAGAGACAAATGGTTGAAGATCAAAAAGGGAAAGTTGACATGGAATCCCTCTTATGCCTTTGATATATATATATCTTGTGGTGCATAATCATTTTTACCGCGATCACAAGTCATTTTTGACAGCTGATTATGAAAGTGCCAACCCCACCTGAAAGGATGATGAGTGAGTTTGGAAATATAAAGTAATGATTCTCATTGGATAAACAATTTCTATGATTCCATTTTGGTATTTCGTTAACTAGATGTCTAGTAAATGCATAGAACCAAATCTCTTTTAGAGATTTCTCTGTCTGTCATCCAATCCAAACTATTGAAGCCTCCCAAAAAGAATGCCACAATGTTCCAATCCATCCCCTCCTCCTAAGAAAAAAAAAAATCTTTAGGATCAATATCAAAGTACTCCAAAGATGACAACTTTAATGCTACTTTCTCTTCTCTTCTCTTCTCTTCTCTTCTCTTCCCACCTCCCACACACTCAAATCTACAATCAATGACGTTTAAAGTGCTTTCTCTCTCGACACAAACACACGTAGATGATGACAAAATGTCACGACAAATCAAGACATGGCGTGGCTTTCATGGTCACGTACTCGAGTTATATAGTAAATCCTCAGATCGTCGTGTTCACAATTTTCACCAATAATATCTCGTGTTTTCTTTCTTTTATGTAACTTTTTCACCTAACTTATCCTCTCTTCTTTCTTACATATCATCGTCTCATCCAGTTCCCATTCACACATTAATTGAAAAGTGATTCTTCAAGAGCCCTGTTTGTTTCATGCATGTCTTTGAGGTATTCATAATCGTTTACGAGTATGTGGATGGATTAAAGCATGTTGATAAAGAGAAGGAGTCAAATTAGTTTTGGACAAAGTGTAACAAGTCTCACGTCAAGAAATTCTTTGTAACAAGTCCTACACGGGCAAGGTTTTCTTGATAAGACCTTATAAGATAACAGTCGTTAAAGTGCTTACTTTCGAACGGGGTAATATTATAACAAGTTTCATGTCGGAGAAATCTCTTTACGAAAAGAACTTATAAGATGGGAAGTTCTCCTACCTCTCTAGCTACATTCCGTTTGAGTGTTACACAAAGCGTTTATAGCTGTGACTCTCTCTGAATGACTTAAAAGGACAGACCAACAAGGTTTGGGCTGAACCCCAAATTATTCCGCAGTTGGACATTATCTCAACTACATCCATCATCATATTTTCAGTTTACAATTAAATAATAGATATTAGGCCCTTCTATGTAAATATTTCAAAATATAAATATATATATCACATCAAAAAATATATCTAATTCCATTTAAAATTATATATTTTCTTATATTCAACACGTTAATTAATTTCAACAATTTACTTACGTTAAACATAATATATTTTCTGATATAGCATTTTTCATTCAATTTATAGGTATGGTCTATAGTTGAATTTACGTTATTTTTAAAATATTTTTTCTTTTAAACAAAAATATGAGATTTAATTGTGCTAATAAAAATTTACTAGTTGTAATAATTAGAATGACGACCATGAATTTAAATTGTCTAAATTGCATATTTTACCCCTCAACTGTCATGAATTTCGTAAATCTTACTATCCAAGATATTTTTCATATATTTTTCAATTTTTACGTATTTTACATTAGTTATGTAACAGTGATTACATGTCTATATAAATTGATGTCGTTTTTCATATATTTTTTTAAAATAACATAGTTATAATGATTTTTAAAAACCATTACAACTGTTAATAATTTTATTATATATATATTCAAGGGTTCGTTTTTCATTATTCATTGTTTGTTTTCCAATCACGCTCTTGGAGTTGTAGTGGGCCATGTAATTGGGTTTATTGGGTGGGGTAGTTCAGTGTCCACTATTCACTGGTTTTTGGATACATTATTTTTAATATATTTTTTTATTTATACTTTTAGAAAATTTTGAAATAAACTTATGAAAAATATTTTGGATTAATTTTTAAAAGTTTTTCGAAAGAGTTCTAGAATCAATTTGCTAGAAAATTGATCTTGGACTAGTTCTATAAGAATGAATCCAAAAGTTAAATCATATAAAAGAATTATTTCTGAATTTAACTTTTTGAAAAAATTTGGATTAATTTTTTTAGTGATTAAATTATATTATAGATTTCATAATACAAAATTAAAAAAAAATTAGTACATTCATAAGTTGATTTATTTCATAAAACTAATAATGATATTATTCTCTTTTCAAATAAATAAAAGATGCAACAAGAAAGCATTGGGGTGTAGAAAAAAATGTGTATATTATCTGTATTTTCAATTATGGTGGTCAATTTGTGATTGGGTTTAACTGTTAGCGATTTGTTATGTTAATTGCTTTTGGGCCCTTTATTTAAATTGCTTTGACATTAAATTGGGTTAGGTTAATGAACTTTGTGAGATCAACAACAACCTTGGTTTGGGTTGTTTAAGAAAAAAGTTATCCGTATATTTTCACACACAATGACTCCACAAAATAACATAAACAAAAATAATCGGAGAACTAAAATAAAATAAAATTATACTAGCCATGATACTTTTTAGAAAAGGGAATAAAAATGTTACAACCTTCTCTAACACCACAAAAAAAAAGTTATATAAAGTATTGAATTAATTTATACCAACATTTTTAATAAATTCAGCTAGTGAAGTTGTGTGTTTGATTAGCGAATTTTGTAATCTTTAAAAAATTTAAATATATTCAATTTATATTATTCTAAACTTAAAGTGTTTTATTTTTAAATATTTTGTTTGTATAAGTTAATTTAAATTTATCTAAATTTTTTTGTTTCTTGTCTAAGTAAATTATTTTAACCATTCATAATTAATTAATTAAATTGTAGTTACATAAGTGTAATCTTTTAAAGTATGATTAAACATGTGTAAAATTTTAAATATACTTTCTGTTTTTTAAAACATGAGTAATTTTTAGTATATTTTCTCTTACACAAGTGATGCGATAATTATTTGTGTAGAGATTTTAATAAATATTATTAGGATAAATTTTGATATTACAATTAAAAAATCGATATTTATCCTTATTTATATATTTTATAATTTAATTATATCTCTAATATCTTATATTTATAAAATCAAATACATATTTTAATTGTATATAAAATTATTTATATTTATATTTATATTAAAATTAATAGCATTGTGGTGGGTTTGTTTATTTAGATGTTGTACATATAAGTAAGCTAACTGCTAATGTTGATCCAAGATGATATGATTTTTGGTTTGGTTACATGCATTGTGACACAGAGACCAAATTAAATAACCCAGAACACGCATAAACATTAATTTAAGCAAGTTAGTGTATGATGTACCTTATCCTCTTCGAATTCATCCAACAAGTCACAAAAACAAAAATTAATTAATAATTTGACATTGCCAATAGGAAGCCATGTGCCTTTTAAAAGCAAAGAATCACAAGATTTTGTGGCAAGAATGAATCTCAAAGATTCATATATTATATAAATTAGAGGCTATCATGCAATGTTTAACCCTTTTGAATATTAGTGGGCAACCAGTTATTTTTTTTCTATTCATAAATTATTTCACAGAGGTCATGTTTGGATGCATACAATGCGCCAACATCTTTCAACATGTGATTTGAGGAGCCATCTAGAATGAAGTTACTTTCTCTTCAAATTTTCTTTTTCTCTTCGTCATGTTTTGCTAGCTTCAACTCTCTCTCTCTTCAAATTTTACTTTATTTAGAGCTCATTCTTAAATCCTTTAAACAATATTTTAAATTTGAACATTTTATATTATAAAAATAT